GGCAGGCCAGGCAGTGGAAGACAGGAGAGCCTGGCGTGCTCTGGTCCATGGGGTCACGAAAAGTCGGACACTACTAAACGACTAGACGACGACAAATTGTCAATGGAGCGACTCTCCTATGAGATGTTATGACACTTAAGCTTTCTAGTTTAGAGAAGGAAGAAAGGAAGGAATTGTTTAACCCCCTTCAAACATTTGTAGAAAATTGTTCACAGCATGAGATGGAAATGATATTGATCACTTACCCAGTAATTTGTGTCAGATTGGGCACAGATTAATTCATGTTAAAGTCCAGTGATTACATGATATAAAGCTGGTTGGATGGCTCAGTAATTTAGTTACAATATATCACAGAAGTGAGTACACCCCCTCACATTTCATAAATATTTTAGTATATCTTTTCATGTAACAACATTGAAGAAATGGCACTTTTCTTGGGCTCTAAATCAATGTAAAGCAGTGAGTATACAGCTTGTAGAACAGTGTAAATGTGCTGTCCCCTCAAAATAACGCAACACACAGTCATTAATGTCTAAACCGCTGTCAACAAAAGTGAGTACACCCCTAAGTGACAATGTTCAAATTGGGCACAAAGTGCCAGTATTTTGTCTGGCCACCATTATTTTCCAGCGCTGCCTTAACTCTCTTGGGCATAGAGTTCATCAGAGCTTCACAGGTTGCCACTGGAGTCCTCTTTCCCTCCTCCATGATGACATCACAGAGCTGGTCGATGTTAGAGACCTTGCGCACCTCCCCCTTCCATTTTAGGATGCCCCACAGATACTCAATAGATTTAGGTCTGGAGACATGCTTGGCCGGTCCATCACCTTAACCCTCAGCTTCTTTAGCAGGGCAGTGGTTATTTTAGAGGTGTGTTTGGGATTGTTATCATGTTGGAATATTGCCCAGCAGCCCAGTCTCCGAAGGGAGGGAATCATGCTCTGCTTCAGCACATGTTGGCATTCATGATTCCCTCAAGGAACTGTAGCTCCCCAGTGCCTGCAGCACTCATGCAGCCCCAGACCATGACACTCCCACCACCATGCTTGACTGTAGCCGCAATACACTTGTCTTTGTACTCCTCACCTGGTTGCTGCCACCCACGCTTGACACCATCTAAACCAAACAGGTTTATCTTGGTCTCATCGGGCCAAAGGACATGGTTACAGAAATCCATTCCTTAGTCTGCTTATCTGCAGCAAACCATATGCAGGCTTTCTTGTGCATCATCTTTAGAAGAGGCTTCCTTCTGGAGACCAATTTGATGCGGTGTGCAGCCTAGGGGTGTGGACAAGCTGACCCCCACACCTCTTAAACCTCTGCAACAATGCTGGCAGCACTCATACATCTATTTCCCAAAGCCGGGCACTGAGCTTCTTTGGTCAACCTTTGGCGAGGCCTGTTCTGAGTAGAACCTGACCTGTTAGTATGGTCTTGACCATTGCGCTGCAGCTCAGTTTCAGGGTTTTTGCAATCTTCTAGCCTAGACCATCTTTATGTAGAGCAACAATTCATTTTTTCAGATCCTCAAATAGTTCATTACCATGAGGTGCTATGTACGTAGAACCTCCAGTGACCAGCCTGAGAGAGCGATAACACCTGCTTCCCCTTCACACCTGAGACTTGTGACACTAACAGGTCACAGCTACTTGGGCCTAATTTAGACATTGCCACTTAGGGGTGTACTCACTTCTGTGATATACTGTATCTGGCCTCAGAGCCAGCGGATGGGAGCTGGATTCCCCAACTGTGCCTCCTGTAAGTAGAGCCAGCCTGTGTGGCCTTGAGCAAGCTGCATCAGGAAGAACAACCTTCAGAACACAGCCAAAGAGCCCGAAAAACCCACAACCACCAAGTGACAGAGAAGGCCCTCTGCTGTGTCCGCACCAAACACACCTGTGAAGGTGGTGGAACCAAGAGATAGGCCTCCCCTGATTATTGCTGGGGCACTCTGGAAAACCATTAAAAAATAGAAAGGGAAAGGTGGAAACTGCCTGTTATCACTTTAAAGTAATTTCTGCTGTTGGATCTCCATGAAGACCAGGCTCTTGGCCTCTGCCCTGCTGACTTCTGCAAATTGTTTTTTGGATAATGATAGTGATTTCATTGTGAAAACTAAATTTGTTAAACTGAGAATCACAGCAATCAAGCCATATTTTCCCTTCTGTGTATAGTAGTTGCACTCTGAACTGAGTTTGTCTTCCGCTCCTATGTTATTGGGATCTGAACCTGGGGGAAAATTAGATCATACAAAAAAAAAGAAAAGAAAAAAGAAAAGAAAAGAGGAGTCCTTCACACAGTACAAAGTTAAACTGGAATTTCTTATAACAAGAAGTACGGATGGTCATTCATGTAGATGGCTTTGGAAGGCTACACAAATATATGGAGAACAAGGAATTTTTTGAAGGGATAACCATGTTAGTGCGTAGTCTCTGTAGCAAAACCAATAGAAAATCTTGTGGCACTTACAGACTAACAAGTTTTGATGTAAGCTTTTGTGAACCACAGCCAACCTTTTCCAGTAGATATACAGTATGGGTGAGCATCACAAGATACTGTGTTAGCTCTGCTGCATGAAGAGTAAATGGCCACTTGTCATGATGGCTATGTACTGCTTTTAGGTTCAGGATGGCATGCCTGTGATAGTAGTTTCCGTGGAACAGCAACTATTGCCCTTATGACCTGCTTATGGGCTTCCCACAGAACTCTGTTTGGCCACTGTGAGAAACAGGATGCTGAACTAGATAAGCCTTTGGTCTTATCTAGGAGGGTTCATTGTGTGTTCTTATGGTGGTGTGAAGAACCTGATCTGATTCCAGTATGTGGGCCAGGCCAGTGACTCTTGTGTCTTCTCAACGGATACCAAGTGGAAGAAAGCAGTTCTTCTAATTAGAAGAGAAATGTGGATCATAATCTCTGTAGCTACTGGAGTCTATTTTTTTCAGTCTGACATGTATTACCCAGTATTTGCTCCTGCCAACTAGAAAGTTATTCATTGTACTGTATATTTTGGAATGATTGAAGCAAGTTATAAGAGTCAGAAGTTTCAGGTTCTTTTTGAACATTAATCTTATCATCTCAAGGGTTCAGTTTAGACTTGGAACCAGATATACTTCTATCCCCTTCCAAATAATACTTTGCAAGTCAGGAATTAATCGTACAAACTTATAGTTTTTCACTGTCATTTCTTGACTGTCAAAAGGGTTAAGGTTTTTTTTTTTGTCTCTGTGTGTGCTCTATGTCAATTCCCATAAACTATGGCATGCATAGGGGAGCCTGCTAAAGTAGGGGGAGTGTTTATGCAATCACTCTTTCACAATCACACAATGCAGCAGGATACCAGCCAAAGGTTTAGTAGCTTTGCAACTGGGCTGATAGAAAAGGACCTTTTCGTTCTCATAGAAGCCCACCAGTTGCTCCAAGTTACCACACAATGAGTAAGGGATCCTGCTAAATGGGATGAAGCTTTGATATGGCAGGGCAAGTCCTTCCTCAAGCAGAGCCCCTCTGTTAGCAGAAGGCAGACCTTGGATCCAACCCAGTAATTGTGAGAAAGCTCATTTTTCATTAACCATGGTCTGCAGTGACACATCATAGTTTAATGTTAAGGCTTTGCTCATAAGCTGGGGTACAGAGGGAATGTGGGAATAAAGCTGGCCCCTTTGTATAAACCATGTGTTGTTAAGAGAAGAATGGGGCTTCTCTTGAAATGCAATCATACTGCTGGAGAGGTAGGTGACATTTCAGGTCTCCCCCTCACTTGAAGTCTCACACTACCTTATAAACCACAAGCATTGCACCTATACCAGTCATCACTGCTACTGTGTATCTGCTCAAGCCCCATTGAAATGACTGATGGAATCAAGGTGACATAGTGGATGGAAAGCCCTTATGTTACAATCCAGCGTTTTGGCTTCTAAGAAGTAGAATGACCTGTATCTTTCTCGTAGCCAGCAACGAGAAGCCCGTGCACATTCCAAATAGTAGATAATATTTCCTTAGTCCTCACCAGACTAATGCTGATCGATTAACATCTTGGCATCTACTAATGGAAATACACTTAGTTTTATAAATGTGTTATTGTTTGCTGATGTCTTTTCCCAGAAATGTGTCCTCACTTTGTTTTGAGCAACTTTGCCAAGGCCCACTTGGCTCCTCACTATGGTGAACCAAACTTTTATATCCAGGATGGAAAAGATGGGGCAAACCAGATGTTGTTGAACTGCAGCCCTCATATAACTCTTCACTGGCTTACTGGCTAGGGCTTGGAGTTCAGTAGCAGCATGTTCCCTGTTCGTTATTGATGGCTTGCATTGGATCATGCAGGGACAATTTGTAAGAACAGGTATATGTATTAAATGTGTTTCTTTCTCTTTTTAGATCAGTTCTTCCCTGCAACATGTAATATAGAAAAAAACTTTATTTCTCTCAACTACCTTGCCGGATACCTACAACCCAAAGCAGCCGAGGGTTGCATTGTCTCCAGCATGGGACAAGAAAGAGAAGTTCATATAATTGAACTGATCACACCTGACTCTAATCCATACAGGTAAAGCGCCTACCGTGTTTCCCCGAAAGTAAAACAGGGTCTTATATTAGTTTTTGCTCCAAAAATGCAGTAGTGCTTATTTTCAGGGGATGTTTTATTTTTTTTCCATGTACGACAATCTACATTTATTCAGATACAGTCATGTCATTTTCTGGTTGGTGCACAATGGTAGAGGGTGGAGTTTCACCTGAAAAATCATACTAGAGCTTATTTTCAGGTTAGGTCTTATTTTCAGGAAAACGGGGTAGTCACATGATATTCCTCCAACCCAGTTTGATTATGATGTTGGTGTCTGTTTGAGACTGAACTGCCTGTATGTCCTTGGGGGGGGGGAGTGGAGCAGACTGAAGGGTCTTTTTCTGCCATTGACTGTGATGGCTAGCTCCTGTGGAAGGGCAAAGATATCTATAAGGGAAGAAGTAAAACAGAAGAAGGACTTTTTATTTAAAGGCGGTAGCAGGAAAAGCATTCCATAGGTCAAAGAGGAGTAATCTGAAGTAGGAATGTGTGGATTTGTGAAATTCAGTCTTATCAAGCTTCTCTTACCTCACACACAGCTCGCTCTGGTCTGAGTCCATCTTAGACTGCAAAGCTTTATTTTCCTTCCACATAAGTGTGTATATATTTCCATGAACAAACTGAACACATACTTGAAATGTATTCCTTTCTCCCCATGGAAAAAAATGCTTTTTAACTGTGTTTGCCTTTTGGTGTGCACTTTTTGCAAATACGTTTTTGTTGTTGCTGCTGCTGCCAAAAATTGCATTCCAAATTTGGAAATGTGCAGGTCTGTGACTACTGTGTTTGGGTTTGGGTTTGGATTTTGGAATTGCACATTGGATAAGCTCATGTAAATGCACAAACCCAATATATTTCTCACCATTACCTGTTCTGGAGCAATATTAGTGGGAGGAAGCATCTAGGAAGAGAGGGAAGACTTGGAGTTTAAAGGGCATAAAAAGTGTCCTAATCCTGAGTGTCATCAAGTCAATTTTGCCTTATGGTGGCCATTTCCAGGGTTTTCTAAGTAAAGAGTACTCAGAAGTAGTTTACCATTCCCTTTTTCTGGGGCACCCTGAGACTATGCAGCTTGTCTAATAACACACAGGCTAGCTTTTCCCCTAGGAAGGGCACAAGTGGGAAATTGAACTCCCAGCCTCTAGCTCTGCAGGCAGATACCTAAATAACTGAGCTATCTGCCCCGCTCTAGCAGTCTTTTAGTGTGTCTGTGCTTGTCTAATAACACACAGGCTAGCTTTTCCCCTAGGAAGGGCACAAGTGGGAAATTGAACTCCCAGCCTCTAGCTCTGCAGGCAGATACCTAAATAACTGAGCTATCTGCCCCGCTCTAGCAGTCTTTTAGTGTGTCTATATATCATTTAGAATTTCATATAAAGCCACACTGGTGCAATATATCTAATTGTGCAAATATAGTTTCCAAAACATAGATGTGGCTTTCCGACTTATTCTTTTAATTTTCTCTCAGGATTCTCTGGCCAGCATAACAATGGTATGATAAGGTGGCATTTGCTTTGAATTAATGAAATAAGTTGGAAATACATGCCCATTTAGAGTTTAAGAAACAAAATAGGAAGAGTGTTCATGCAAATAATAAAAAAAAGAGCTTTCTCCAAGTGGATTTCTGTTTACCAGCACCAAAACAAAAAGAATGAGCAGCCAGCATCCTTTAAAAGGAGAAAGGAAAGCTGTTGGGCAGCAATTATTGGCCTAGAAAAGCATTTTGTTTCCATTGTTATGTAAAATTGTTTTAACATGTGTGGCGTAACAGTCTGTTTTGCACATGTTGTACTGTCTGGGATAACCTCCAGCATTTTAATCAGCTGGCCAGACACTGAAAATGTGATGGACTGGAATAAGGTTGATACCCGAAAGTTTCTGGCACACTGGCTTATTCTGCCTTTATTTTCCACATTCAGTGCTTTCCAGGTGGATATCATCATTGACATTCGACCATCCCGGCCAGACACCACGCTTGTCAGGGATCTTGTGCTTATCCTCAAGTGCAGAAAGTCTGTCAATTGGGTCATCAAGTCACATGATGTCAAGGGGAAACTGGAAGCAATTGTGAGTAGTTATGGTGCTACTAGTTTTGGGGGAGGCTGTTAACAGCTTAATGCTTTTATGTGGACAAGTGAGCCCATGACAACTGATGTCTGCCTGGACATCTTCTGCTAACTTTGCTGGTCGTTGGTTTTTCCGTGGCTACTGGACAGCATGCTGCTTATTCATTGGGTGTGTGCGCCTATGCGCGAGGGATGAATTCCCTTAATTTCTAAGTGTCTCATACCTATCCTTAAGAGAAACCTTGCATGCAATCCAAATAAAGACTCAAAATGTTTTACAACTCACTAAGAAAAATATAGCCTAGAATTGTTTTTTTAAAGGAACAAGAAAAGGAATATTTCCTTTAGACAATTCCCCACCTACAATCATAGAGGCAAAAGGGACCTGATGGTCACAAAGTATCTCCAATCCTCCAGTTCAGTGGTGAGTGTGTCACAAGCATTCTGTAGAGATGTTGAAGTAGTCCATAGTTGGATGACAACCAGCGATTGACTAGGAACTTGCGGTTTAAGGGTGGTCCCTAAATGTCTACCCAGACAGGGAGAGGTACTGGAGGGCAGCACCAAACTGGCCTGGTATCAGATGTTGGGTCGGCATGTATGGTAGTTTTGTTATTTTATCTTTTTTTCAAGACTCCAATTCCCAGAAATCTCAATTCTGGGAGGTCCACCTGTCAGACTCATACTGTGTATGGTAGTTTTGTTATTTTATCTTTTTCAAGACTGCAATTCCCAGAAATTGCAATTCTGGGAGTTCCACCTGTCAGACCCATACTGAAACTGTGCTCACCTAGAGAAAGGCTGAGCTTCATGGCCTATGATAGGCCAAACTCCAGCCTAGTTTCCTGTTAGAAGAGAAGGATGCCCCAGTGCTTGCTGGGAACATTTTCATGGAGAACTCCCCAGAATGGAGAATTCTGGAACTTGGAGTTAAAAAAAACCAAAAGAAAAGAAAAAACAAGCAAGCAGACAAAAAACAAATGGCACCTGCCTTAGTTGGCACTAGCAACTGGGGCCCGCTGGGGTTGATGCCACTGTAGCAGCATTCCATCTATTATTTAATTTTTTAAGAAAAGACTGGTGGGTATGTACATTTTTTTTTTACTTTAGCTCTCCACCCACCTACCTTGTTGTTGTTGTTTTTTCCTACACAAAATAGTGCTTGTTTCCACGTAAATCCATTCTGGCCAACAGAAGTAAATTGCAATTTATTCCTATAGTTGCAAAGGCGTTAAGGGTTTATTGGCAGAAAATTGGCCAGGCTCAAGAATATTTATTTTTCTTTTCAACCCGGATAACCAAGCAAATCTTTTCTTTCTTTTTATGTTCTTCTTCTTCTTCTTTTTTTTAATTTTAAAAAAGTTTGTTGTCCCTTGCACAGAGCACAGGCAAGGGAGGAAAGTCCTTCACATAGGGCTGGTGGGTGTGTGTTTCCTGTTAGGAGGGGCCTTGATATAGAAGCATGGAATGGTGATCATGAGTGTGAGGCAGAGGGAAAGGGGTTCTACCCCCAATATTATGTTATCATGCAGAATATTATGCAGAAAATATGCGTCCAGATTAACAACAGTAATCTAACTTTTCTTTTGTATGTTACATGGAGCTTAATTAAATTATCTTCTCTTGCCCTTGCTGCTTTTTCTGAGATGTCCCATCCCACCATAAGTTTATTAGATTGAAGTCTGAGCCTCCCTTTCATATCTGAAGCCTAGTTTATATGTATGGCCATTGTGAGTACATGGCATCTGTAGGCAACTGATAGGTCTTCAGCAGCACTTTGACCAAGTTTACTACTGACTCCTGCTCAGGCCCCCACCTCTCAGCATCTTCAGGAGGGGGGAAAAAGAGGAAGACACAATATTCCAGGGGTTGGTGCTCCTATCCTGCTGTTATACAAGAGCTATATATCTTCATGAAGTCAGGTACTATATATATACAGTGGTGCCTTGCTTAACGATTGCCTCATTAAATGACAAAACTGCTATACGATGAATGTTTTGCAATCGCAAAACGATGTTTTAATAGGCAAAATCCGCTTTGCGACGTTCGGTTCCCTACTTCGGGAACCGATTCTACGCATTACAACGTTTTTTAAACAGCTGATTGGCGGCTTCAAAGTGGCCACCCACTGTGTAAAATGGCTCCCCCCTGTATTTTTGGACGGATTCCTCGCTTTACAGGCACAAAAAATGGCCGCCCCTATGGAGGATCTTCGCTGGACGTTGAGTTTTTCAGCCCATTGGAACGCATTGAACGGGTTTTCAATGTGTTTCAATGGGATTTTTAATTTTGCTTAACGAGGATTTCGCTCTACAGCGATTTCGCTGGAACGGATTATCCTTGTTAAGCAAGGCACCACTGTATATGCAACTCTGTATAGCCATGCACTGGAACCTGTTCAAGAATTTTAAGGTTACTGCTTTAGTTTGTTGCCAGAGTTGCTTTAATGTCCTGTATATTGTAGCTGTATATGCAGCAGAGCAAATCAACAATCTAAAAGGCAATTCTAAAAATGGGAGAAGGCCAAACAAAAAAAAATCATAATTTTGAAACTGGACCAGATCAGTGCCAAATCTGAGGATGTTTGGACAAAGAGTTTTCAAGCTATGATTTTTTTAAAATAAAACTGTTCCCATCCCTGTGCAGAAACGAGCAGTCCTAAACATCTCCACAATTAAAATAGTTCATACAAATTGAAAAGACCAGTCTTGCTTGTCTTGAAAGAGAATGGTTGGCCCCACGTGCTTTTTTTTAATTGGAAAGAATCAATGCTACAGGGGCTGAAACACTGGTCCTCAAAAAAGACCTTTTCAAAAGAGAAAAGGCAACCACTTTTTCATGCATGGAACAAATTTACCAACAAGAACATTGCAAAGTAAGTACATTGCTGCAGCTTCATAGCCCAGTAAGAGTCAAAAATCCAGGCTTGTTTTGAGGAGGGGGCATATAAATTGAATAAATAAATAAATAGAGTAACAATCCTTCAGAGAGGCACATTTTACCCATTTATCTCCAGATACATGGGTAAAATGCGCCTTTCTGAAGGACTGTTACTCTCCAGGAAATCCTCATAGAATTTTGTAAGGCATATTTAAAGTATTTCTGCATTACAAAAGCACAGAGCAGTTGTGGTTGTCTCTGAGTGCTTTTAGTAAACATTCTCTCAGGATTTCTGAAACCAGACCCCTCATACAAATCTTCAATAGGGAATCAGCTACAGGTAAGGCTTTTGGCCTTAACAGTTTACCCAATTAGCTGACTCTCAGGGGGAGAACCTTTTAACTCTTTTCTGGCCAAACAGGCATTACTGGAGGGCAGCACCAAACTGGCCTGGTATCAGATGTTGGGTCGGCATGTATGGTAGTTTTGTTATTTTATCTTTTTCAAGACTGCAATTCCCAGAAATTGCAATTCTGGGAGTTCCACCTGTCAGACCCATACTGAAACTGTGCTCACCTAGAGAAAGGCTGAGCTTCATGGCCTATGATAGGCCAAACTCCAGCCTAGTTTCCTGTTAGAAGAGAAGGATGCCCCAGTGCTTGCTGGGAACATTTTCATGGAGAACTCCCCAGAATGGAGAATTCTGGAACTTGGAGTTAAAAAAAACCAAAAGAAAAGAAAAAACAAGCAAGCAGACAAAAAACAAATGGCACCTGCCTTAGTTGGCACTAGCAACTGGGGCCCGCTGGGGTTGATGCCACTGTAGCAGCATTCCATCTATTATTTAATTTTTTAAGAAAAGACTGGTGGGTATGTACATTTTTTTTTTACTTTAGCTCTCCACCCACCTACCTTGTTGTTGTTGTTTTTTCCTACACAAAATAGTGCTTGTTTCCACGTAAATCCATTCTGGCCAACAGAAGTAAATTGCAATTTATTCCTATAGTTGCAAAGGCGTTAAGGGTTTATTGGCAGAAAATTGGCCAGGCTCAAGAATATTTATTTTTCTTTTCAACCCGGATAACCAAGCAAATCTTTTCTTTCTTTTTATGTTCTTCTTCTTTTTTTTAATTTTAAAAAAGTTTGTTGTCCCTTGCACAGAGCACAGGCAAGGGAGGAAAGTCCTTCACATAGGGCTGGTGGGTGTGTGTTTCCTGTTAGGAGGGGCCTTGATATAGAAGCATGGAATGGTGATCATGAGTGTGAGGCAGAGGGAAAGGGGTTCTACCCCCAATATTATGTTATCATGCAGAATATTATGCAGAAAATATGCGTCCAGATTAACAACAGTAATCTAACTTTTCTTTTGTATGTTACATGGAGCTTAATTAAATTATCTTCTCTTGCCCTTGCTGCTTTTTCTGAGATGTCCCATGCCACCATAGGTTTATTAAATTGAAGTCTGAGCCTCCCTTTCATATCTGAAGCCTAGTTTATATGTATGGCCATTGTGAGTACTTGGCATCTGTAGGCAACTGATAGACCCTCAGCAGCACTTTGACCAAGTTTACTACTGATTCCTGCTCAGGCCCCCACCTCTCAGCATCTTCAGGAGGGGGGAAAAAGAGGAAGACACAATATTCCAGGGGTTGTTGCTCCTATCCTGCTGCTATACAAGAGCTATATATCTTCATGTAGTCAGATACTATATATATACAGTGGTGCCTTGCTTAACGATTGCCTCATTAAATGACAAAACTGCTATACGATGAATGTTTTGCAATCGCAAAACGATGTTTTAATAGGCAAAATCCGCTTTGCGACGTTCGGTTCCCTACTTCGGGAACCGATTCTACGCATTACAACGTTTTTTAAACAGCTGATTGGCGGCTTCAAAGTGGCCACCCACTGTGTAAAATGGCTCCCCCCTGTATTTTTGGACGGATTCCTCGCTTTACAGGCACAAAAAATGGCCGCCCCTATGGAGGATCTTCGCTGGACAGTGAGTTTTTTAGCCCATTGGAACGCATTGAACGGGTTTTCAGTGTGTTTCAATGAGATTTTTAAATTTGCTTAACGAGGATTTCGCTCTACAGCGATTTCGCTGGAACGGATTATCCTTGTTAAGCAAGGCACCACTGTATATGCAACTCTGTATAGCCATGCACTGGAACCTGTTCAAGAATTTTAAGGTTACTGCTTTAGTTTGTTGCCAGAGTTGCTTTAATGTCCTGTATATTGTAGCTGTATATGCAGCAGAGCAAATCAACAATCTAAAAGGCAATTCTAAAAATGGGAGAAGGCCAAACAAAAAAAAATCATAATTTTGAAACTGGACCAGATCAGTGCCAAATCTGAGGATGTTTGGACAAAGAGTTTTCAAGCTATGATTTTTTTAAAATAAAACTGTTCCCATCCCTGTGCAGAAACGAGCAGTCCTAAACATCTCCACAATTAAAATAGTTCATACAAATTGAAAAGACCAGTCTTGCTTGTCTTGAAAGAGAATGGTTGGCCCCACGTGCTTTTTTTTAAGGTTACTGCTTTAGTTTGTTGCCAGAGTTGCTTTAATGTGCTGTATATTGTAGCTGTATATGCAGCAGAGCAAATCAACAATCTACAAGGCAATTCTAAAAATGGGAGAAGGCCAAACAAAAAAAATCATAATTTTGAAACTGGACCAGATCAGTGCCAAATCTGGGGATGTTTGGACAAAGAGTTTCCCTGTGCAGAAACGAGCAATCCTAAACATCTCCACAATTAAAATAGTTCATACAAATTGAAAAGACCAATCTTGCTTGTCTTGAAAGAGAATGGTTGGCTCCACGTGCTTTTTTTTAATCGGAAAGAATCAATGCTGCAGGGGCTGAAACACTGGTCCTCAAAAAAGACCTTTTCAAAAGGGAAAAAGCAACCACTTTGTCATGCATGGAACAAATTTACCAACAAGAACATTGCAAAGTAAGTACATTGCTGCAGCTTCATAGCCCAGTAAGAGTCAAAAATCCAGGCTTGTTTTGAGGAGGGGGCATATAAATTGAATAAATAAATAAATAGAGTAACAATCCTTCAGAGAGGCACATTTTACCCATTTATCTCCAGATACATGGGTAAAATGCGCCTTTCTGAAGGACTGTTACTCTCCAGGAAATCCTCATAGAATTTTGTAAGGCATACTGAGTTGAGTGCTTTTAGTAAACATTCTCTCAGGATTTCTGAAACCAGACCCCTCATACAAATCTTCAATAGGGAATCAGCTACAGGTAAGGCTTTTGGCCTTAACAGTTTACCCAATTAGCTGACTCTCAGGGGGAGAACCTTTTAACTCTTTTCTGGCCAAACAGGCATTGGTGCTGGAAAAAGGATTTTTACAACCTGGTTGTAAAAATATATTAAAAACATTCTCTCAGGATTTCTGAAACCAGACCCCTCATACAAATCTTCAATAGGGAATCAGCTACAGGTAAGGCTTTTGGCCTTAACAGTTTACCCAATTAGCTGACTCTCAGGGGGAGAACCTTTTAACTCTTTTCTGGCCAAACAGGCATTGGTGCTGGAAAAAGGATTTTTACAACCTGGTTGTAAAAATATATTAAAATATATTTTAAAAAGAATAGAGAACAAATATTCAGAAGCTCACTTGTTTAAACTCTGAAATTATTATTTTTTTGCTTCGTGCCTGGGGATGGTCTTACTTGATTTTAGCACAGGTTTGGTGCCGATATCCTGCCATAGTTTCCACCATAACCAAAGTGACACCAAGCAAGGGAAAATCTCCGAAGCTAACTCCTGTTTCCTCCCACCTCTATTGGCATGTAATGGTTAGGTTCTAGGTTTTTTTTTTTAAAAGAATAGATCACATTAGCTTAGAGCAAAATTGCCAGCTAGAAAAAAGATTTTTTTTTAATTGATGGGATCCTCCAGCTGCAGAGTTAAGTGCATTTGACCAATATGTAAATCAGTATCTAGTTTGGGTGTGTATGTTTAATGTATATACATGAGTATATACCAGTATACTGCACCACCATTAACATAGGATCTCATGCGCTCCTATTTAGATTCATCAGTCTTAACGTTACTATGTGAATGGAGAAGTAAACAGTCATTTAGACCGGGCAAGTTCTAGTTAAAACAGTCAAAATCAGAGTGGGGAGAAGGGAGATGTTTGTTCAGCTGCTTTATCAAACATTTAAAAAAGAAAAGGAGAGAACAGGAAACCCAGCAAATTTAGTGATTATAGCAACTTTAGTCAGTCCAAACTGGCTTGCTTATTTGAAACATGTGTAAAAAATTGTATCCAGATTTGCGTTCACAAAAGAGACCATATTTTGGGCAGAAACGGAAGGGCAGGCACAGCTCAGCTCCTCCCTTTCTTTGCCATGGGATTCGCCAGCTCTAATACTACTTTTTTTGTTAACAAATATTTATTTATCTATCTATTTATCTATCTATTTATTTATGGTACCACCCACCCGCAGCACAACATTTACATGTATAGAGAGAGAATTGTAGAATCACTTCCTATATTCTATAGGGTCCTCGAAAGGAAGAATTTTGAAGGATTCCTTTTCTGTATTTTAGTTTCTCAATGTGTAATGCTAATCTTATTGCTTAAAAGAACATGGAAGGTTTTCAGTGCACACAGATTTAGGCATTTTTTTTTATTGTTCTATATTTTGTAGTGTTTTATGTGACAAAATGGTTTGTCATATTTGTCCCCTTTATAGTGAGATTACTATTTCTCATGTGCCGGGAAATATTGATATGGGAACATACTGACTAGAGGTACAGTGGACCATTACAATAAGGTCCAGGTTACAGTTGGCTGTTCCACATTACTGTGCTATAGAAAGATCCACCTTCCCTGGCCTGTGTGCTCCACAGATATTGAACTGCCTCTTCTTCTATTTCCTGATGTTGTCCACATCTGGAGGGATGGGGATCACTGAGCTGTGATGCAACCGGACTGTCCTTAGAGTTGGGGCTATTTCAACTGCTGAAAAACAACTGCTTTTCATAATTTTCATGACCTCTCATATCTTGCAGATAAGCTTGATTTGGTTTGTGATTGGATACTGAGAGAAAATACAAGTTTCAGTTGTAATTTTATTTCCTAAGTCTTAATGCAATGAGGAAATTGCATCTCTGGAGGACCAGCATCCCTTTAGCTTCAAATGTGAGCTCTCTTATCTAGTATGTCCTCAAGAGAAACTTTGGAACTTTTCAAGAAGATCCTAACATGATCTTCAGAATTTCTTCTCTGGATGCCCTGTGTAGTTGAGATGAGTGGGTAATTAATAGGGGAAGGGCATTTCCAGTGATGGCACCTGAATAGTGCAATGTCTTCCCCAGGGAAGCTCACATGGTTCCAAACTTGTGCTATTTTTAATTTTGGTAAAGGCTTTTTTAAAATTTCCAAGACATTTCAGCTTTAAAAAACACATTTTAATGGTTTTTAACAATTTAAGATTTTAAAGATTTTAAAGAGATAAAGTTACAGAAAGCTGAATGCTGACTTCCAAAGAGCAAGGAGAGACAGAGGGCCTTCTTAAATGGAAAGTGCAACGATGTAGAGGAAAATAATAGAAAGGGAAAAACCAGAAATCTGTCCAAGAAAATTGGAGATATTAAAGGAATCTTTTGTGCAAAGGTGGACGTGATAAAGGACAGAAATGGTAGGGACCTCACAGAAGCAGAAGACATCAAGTAGAGGTGACAAGAATACACAGAGGAATTATACCAGAAAGATCTGGATGTCCCGGACAACTCAGATAGTGTGGTTGCTGACCTTGAGCCAGACATCCTGGAGAGGGAAGTCAAGTGGGCCTTAGAAAGCATAGCTAACAAGGCCACTGGACGTGATGGCATTCCAGTTGAACTATTTAAAATCTTAAAAGACGACATTGTTAAGGTGCTACACTCAATATGCCAACAAGTTTGGCATGTATGTCGTGATGTATGGTACTGAGAGTTGGACCATAAAGAAGGCTGATGCTAAAAAAGAATTGATGCTTTTGAATTGTGGTGCTGGAGGAGGCTCTTGAGAGTCCCCTGGACTGCAAAGATAACAAGCCTATCCATTTTGAAGGAAAGCAACCTGGAGTGCTCACTGGTAAGACAGATCCTGGAGCTGAGGCTCCAATACTTTGGCCATCTCATGAGAAGAGAAGACTCCCTGGAAAAGACCCTGATGTTGGGAAAATGTGAAGGCAAGAGGAGAAGGGGATGACAGAGGACGAGATGGATGGACAGTGTCATTGAAGCTACCAACATGAATTAGACCGAACTCTGGGAGGCAGTGGAAGACAGGAGGGCCTGGCGTCCATGGGGTCACGAAGAGTTGAACACAACTTAACGACTAAGCAACAACAAAAAAGATTTTAACATTCCATGACCCCATTTCTGGATTTATTGTGATACTCTTTTGAGCTGCTATTAATTTGTTTTTTACTAATGCTTGTTTTATACTTATATGGCTTTAATTTCTTCTTCTGTTAACTTCCAAGATAATGCATCTTTAATGAATATTGTAACAAATTTTTGCAAATAAAACTTGAATTCTCTGTTAGGATATACATTTCAAATTTCTGTACAGAAGATTATTTGTCCGCATTAGAAACCATTGAAACAAGAAATAAATGATTATGTTTAGTGAAGTGCAGCAGAGATTTTAGACACTGTAATAAGTCTCAGAAATTAAACTAGTGTCATCGTAGCATGAAAATGCTTGAACAAAATGCATTTTTTACTTGCAAAGAAAAAAAGAGTTGCTTTTTCACATTTTAAGTGTGAAAACGTAACAGCATGTCAATCACTACCCAACGTCCTAAAATATCATATTGCCTTTATTCACAGGCAGCAAACAGTATCGGTTCTGGGAAAGAATCTGAACGCTCCATGGTGATGACCAAAACCATGTTATCTGATATACCTTCCTCCCATGAGAATTTGATTGCATGGGCTTATGACCATGGTTACCGTCCAGTTACTTCTTATACAAAAGCACCTGTTGCTAATCGGTTTCACCTACGGCTTGAGGATCCTGGTAAGGAAGAAGATTCATGTTGTATCAAGCACAACATCCTCTGACTTGCTCACACCAGTTTTCAAGTGTCTTGAATTCACTAGGCCTGGGAGAGTTTTCATGATAAGAACACAGGGCATGATTGGCAAGTCCTTGTTCTCATAGATCAAAGGTGTCTCAATATGGTGAGGGACCTAGATGAGCAATTTTCATGGCCACCAAATTTATTTGGCCTCAGTCCAAGAGTGTGGCAAGGGGTAAAGGGTTCTTCGGTTACACAAAATGCCTTTGAGGCAGTGTATGCGAAACTAGTGTCCTTTTCCTATGAGAAGCAGAGCCACCCATACAGAGAAGAAAAGATGATGTTGTGGGGCGGGGATAGTTTCAGCATTAGGAAAATAGCACAGGGAAATGGATGAACAGATTATAATTGAAATGGGTTAAATCATCCATTCTGTGCACTGCACTTGGTTTGGTCTCTGTGATGGTAGTTTGTTAAGAGACAAGCCTGGTGGAAATTAATTACATGTTTAAATGATATGCCTAATATAAAAACTAGAATCCTGTTGGGCGTAATTGGGATATAATGCACTACCAGTATAATAATATGGGACCCTGTATTTGTATTAGTAAGTGCTGATGTGAAAGCAGAAGCCTGCATTTGGAAAATCTGGCTTCTACTTATACAAGGACATGCCATGGGTACTTTCTTCCCCAAATGATTAAAAAGTAAAACCACTTATACTACATTTGTTTCATGAGCTTTTGACTCCAACAAGATCCTAGTCATTGTCTCATTTGCCCTGAACTCTGAAGAAATTAAAGGGAACAGCTTAATGTCTCCAAATTCCTGTCTTTCTGTAGAAGAAATGAATGATGAAGAAGACTACTTCCTTCCACCAGAGCTGACAGAACTGCTGCATGGCATAAACCCATTGCCTGTTCCAGTCCCACCTTTGGGAGAAGGAACAGTTCATTTTGACTTCCTCCATGAAAATCATGAAGGGGCCTTGCCATCCACTGATACAGTAGACACGATTATTCCCAACCATGGTTTTGAGCATCTTCTTCCTAACATCAGAGAACCAGAAGAAGTGCAGGGTAGCGTGGACGTTGCCCTGTCCGTAAAATGTGATGATTCATCAATGACTGTGGCTGTAGCGAAAGAGTCTCTGGAGGTTGGTATGATCTCTTAATGTCACATTAGAATAAAGAAGAGTAGGTCGTGTTGCGTTCTCGGGTTCACTGCATATCAGAAATCTCATGGCTGCAAGGGAGCATGTGGTTGACATGGTGCGCCCAGCTCATGTTCTGCATTGGCCCCAAAGTTCACAAAGATCTGAGTCCTTTTTAACTGAAATTGTGGAGCATTAACACCTCTGTGTGTGTGTGTTTGTGTGTGTTTGTGTGTGTGTTGTGTACACATTCTCACACACACACACACACACAGACAATGTATTTTTTTTCTCCCTTTCCTTCATGGGAAAGACATTCTCTGAAGTTCAGTTGTTTCAAACATCTCCCTCCATAAAATGAAAAGCTACCATAATTCACTGCTTTTATTTTAGATCATATTTAAGTTTTTACTGGGGGCCTCCTTGCCAAGCCAGCCGAAATGCAGAAGCTTCTCTCCCCACCCCCAACCCCCGCTGAGCCGGTAGTGGTGCCGCTGCTCTTCCGGCTCCAGTTCCGGTTCCTTTGGGCTCCTTTGCTTCCTGCTCTGCCTCACACCCCTCACCACTTCTCCTGCTCTGCTGCTGCTCAGGGGAGCCGCAAGTCCAAAATGTTTTGGAGCCACTGATGCCTAGGAAAGACCTGGCTGAGGATGGGGGCAGTTGGGAAAAATCTGCTGCAGAATGTGTGGCGGATACTACTTTAAAAAGCCAGCATTTTCTTTTAAGCAACTGCTTCCCTTTGTAGTGGGGATGGAGCTTCAGTCAAACATCCAGAAGCATCCCCAATTTTCAACAGATTGGCTGAGTAGAAATAATGCAGTGTCATAATCCAAAGAGCAATTGTGGCAGGGAGAAGAGGGCTCCCTTGCCACCAGGCCACTTGAAGCAGCCACAACCTTTTGCAAATCGTACCTTTCCTTCTTGTGTGTGGTCCTCAACTTGCCCACACTCCAAACGTTTTGCTGGCTGAGGTGGAACAGCAAGTAACGGCCCCTCCCCATGACAGGGACAGAGTACTCCAAGCCAACCAGCCAAGCGCTTTCAGCACATAAAGCAGAAAAGTCCACTTAGCCCATTTGCTATCTTATGATTATATTTCACATCTGCTGCCTCACTCTGTAGAATTGTAGTGTCTGGTGCTGAACATGACTTATCCTTGTGCTTGACTGCTGGATTGTCTGTTTCCTGGCTCAGTTACTAGCTTATTTTCACACTAGTTCTGACAGCACTATTACTCAGGTGACAATTTGTTGATACCAAATTTTAACAGAGAGTCAGTGCTCAATAGTAAAATAATGTTGTTTAAAGCTTTGCCTGGATATAATTTTATGCTTTGTTCGCTTTCCCTTCAGGCTAGTGGTTATATCGGGACACAGCTTTCTCTACTCGATCCTAAATGTAGAGCAAAGGCAAACCAAACTCATTTTATTCTGGAGTCATCTCTGCAAGACTGTGGGACGCGACGGATAACCTATCCCTCGAATCACGTTGTGTACCGGAACTCTGTGAGTCACAAGAAAAAGTGTTGTCTTAGATGCCGCATAGTGCAGTGTGATCACAACATTGTTGTAGAGATGGCTATTTTTCTGACAGGAGGAGAAGGAGGTTTGTGGGAAGAGATTCCTGTTATTTTGTGTATGAGACTGCAGTAATTCCAGGTATGCTTCCTCAGTCTAAACACAAGTCCTTTTTCCACTTTGGGCTCACAGAGATTTCCACATTGGATGGAAAAGTGAACTCTTCGTGCCTTATCAGCCTCTACAGTAAACAAGAGAATATTGAAAAGCAGTGCTGGGGAGGGGACTGTTTGTTTGTTTGGTTGGTTGTTTGGTTTGCACTACAACCTCCAGAATTCCCACAGCTCCTCTCTCTTGCAAAGCCTGGATGTTAGAACCAAAATTAAGTATTAGATTAGAGCTAAAATTAGGTCAGTGTCCATAACATGTGGCTTTTCATTTAACAGCTAGAGACATCATAACCAATGATATCTCTAGCTGTGAAAAAAAGTTGTCTCTAGCTGTTCAGAAAAAATTGTTGTTTTAGTTTCATTTTTTGTCAATCATAACTTTCAAAATCTTCATAGATACATAGCCAGTGCTGAGCTGATCCATCATCTGGTTCTAGGTACTAATGATGAGGCTAGGTTCCTGGCTTATTTTCTTTGTTACCTGAAATATAAGTACAGGATACCACAAATATGGTAAGTGGAGCTGGGTGAATAGGCTTAACCCTTCCTCTACAACATGCTCTGCTATGTACATATCTAGAAGTCTTTGTCTTCCCAGTTACTTTTCTCTTTCCACAGGGAAGAAGATACACAGTTTTTGTATCTTTCCCCCATCCACCCACTTGGGCCATATGGAAATTCTCTTCCATTTTTCAGGACGGAAAGAAAACCAAGTCCTGCCAGCTGATACCTTGTTTAGAACAGAATCGTATTTGTGGCAGTGTTCAGTTCTGACGTAGCTTTGGGGCAGAGTTCAGAAAAAGATTTTTTTTAAAAAACATAACTTTCAAAATTCCCAGCCAGCACAGCTAATGGTCATGTTGGATGGAGGATTCGAGAGGCTGTGATCCAAAAAACAGAGCTATTCCTACACTGTCTTTATAGATTGCTTACTCCCTGCACCTCACCAGCCGCCCATCAGGCTCTTGCTTATCTCTTGCCTCCAATTCCCATAAGCTCTCACAAAGAAGACCCTGCAGGAGACTAAGCTTTTGCACTTGGTCTCCTGTGAGCAATTTTTCAGACTGGGGGACTGTTTATCTGTACATTTGGCTTGATATTCTTGAGCCGAATTGTGCATAGGAGGGAATACATAATATGAAACCAAGCATTCCAGGAGGCTTTGCCTTCTCTTGTAACATCTCTTACACAAAACTCCTGGTGTTCACCATAAACCAGCAACATAGTGTAAGATAGCTGTAAGAATGCACTGCAGGATGACGCCATATGTATGTTGTGCACTATACTATATTGTACCGTAGCACATATTCAACACAAAAAGAGAAAGTTGTATGAACTTTCATGCAGCAGCTGATTGTCTTGGGACAATCTGTCTGAGGGTTCTTTTACCATTTCACTTAGACTTGCCATTTAAACCAGTTTTTTGTTATTAATTATTATTAGAATTAAGATTAGAAATTCTGTATAACTAGTAGTGAATGATAGTTTAGTAAGAAATAGCTGAAATCATGAGCCTAGTTTTAAAAAGGAAGGAAAGAAGCTACACGAGGAGCATTATTATGGACCTGAACCTGGTACGTCAAACTGGCGAGTCAAAGAGCTATTTAGAAACCAGTTTAGTGCATGGATCCAAATCAAATTGCAGAAATCTGATTTTCCAAGCAAGTATGCAAAATCTGATTTTCCAAGCAAGCAGTCAAACGTTACTTCTAAGATTCTTATCTTCAACACTAGCTCAGCAGTTTCACCACCATCTTGAGTAGATATTGGCCAGCTCAGGTTAACAGGCAGAGACATCCTTTGGCATCTGAGATTTCCGCACATAGTGGCAATTTTGGCAAATAAAGAAGAGGCTTGTCATCCAACTCAAATATAGCTAAGGCAACCTGATCAGACATAGCTTGATCCAAAATTAAAATGAAATATGTGAATATGTGATGTGTGTGTGTGTGTGTATGTGTGTTTAACAATTTGCAAAAGTTCTTTACAGGCCATACTTTTGGCAGTTTATTTAGAGATGTACCGAACCAAAAGCATGGGTCAAGAGCTTTTTTAAAAGTAGTGGAAAAATGCACATCTGGATCTCAACTCAGCAGTTGGCCCACTATCTTTAATGCTGGGTAAACCCAAAATTTGTCAGTACTTCTATTTTACTCTAGATTCCAGGCACAGATTTTAAAAAAATGCAATTGAAGAGCAGGCCAGTTTCAACATGGCTGGGTAAACCCAAAATTTGTCAGTACTTCTATTTTACTCTAGATTCCAGGAACAGATTTTTTTAAAAAAAATGCAGTTGAAGAGCAGGCCAGTTTCAACATAATCAGAACTGATATAGAACTGCACTGCAAATGACTTTAAAATATTAGAAGTTCTCCCTTGGATAGCAACCATCCATCTGAGCAAACAAAAATGAAATTAAGTTAAGAAAAAGCTGAACAGTCAGGAAATGCAGAGGAGCTGAGTATGTGGGGAATGTTTGCATACAAAAAGTGGGTGGGAGATGTCTGACGCAGCCCAGCGTAGGAGGTACAGTTGAGGAACTAAAAGAACTATCGTTTTTATGGCATCAAGGGAAACTGAATGAATGTAACAGCAAGGAGAAAACAGAGAAGAGAGTCAAAATGTGAGCATGAACGATGGTTAGAAATGTCATACAATTTTTCAAAAAATCCACCAGCAACAACTGAAGAAATACAAGACCAAAACTCAGAGTCATATTCTTTGTCCATTGTATTTTGTGCTGATTACAAAAAAATACGATGTGTGCAGGTCCAGTTCAGTGAGCCATTACTTTTTAACAGTGTTGAATATATAGCTTTACCAGGAGCTGAAATAAGGTTCCTGGTGCATTCATATCCAAACCAATTCCCAGATGGCTTTTTTCAGCCCATACGATAGTTTTATTGTTCTGCTTTTTTCCAAGTTTGGAAATCAGCTGAAGGCATTTCCTTACATTTCCTAAACTTGGTTTTTGAGAACTTGTTTGCTGTGATGAATAGAGGGGCTGACCGGCTGAAAAGAGGAGGACTCAGATCTCAGCACCTGAAAATGCATTGGTAACCTTGGGCAAATGACTGTGGCAGAGTTCGCTGCTAATACGAACACGTTCTTTAAGGCTGTGAGCACAAGAAGAAAGATGCTGCTCAGAGTTTTCCTCCTCCCTTTTCTTGGCCAGAAGGAGGAAATAGTTAGGACGTTGCTTAATTTTGCTCTTGTATGTGAGCCAAGAATCCTGGTTTAAAATAAACTCGAGTTTATTTTTGATTGACTAAACAAATCAACTTCAAACTCTGGATTGTTTAGCCAGTTTGTTTATCAATATCTACAATTTATTCATTTATTTTACTCATTACATTTATATCCTAAATAGAATTGAGAACCATCTTCCAATACGGATTAAGTTGTTAAGTAGAGACCCCACTGTATATCCTAAACAGAACGCAGTTATAAATCATATGGCTCCTTACAGGTACAGTAATAGCTTTTTGACTTAAAACAACAAAAACTATATGAAGAGGAGAAACAAAGTTATGTTACCAATGTAATAGGTAACATTTTGCTAGTTATTTTCAAATCTCCAGACACACACAACCATTCACATACAACAACTAAAAAATATCAAGCAGCTCAAAAAGCAATGTAGAGAGTTACTTTTTAAGCATTGTAGTAAGTAACAACAGTACCTTCTCAAGCACTATAAAAATTAACTAACTGAAACAATTAACAACTAACTGAAACAAGTTGTTTTTAATAAGTAATTTTCTAGGTTCTGATCCTGTCTTTCTTGCATCACAAAATTGAAGCTCTGACCATGCCCGTACCAGTTTGGCCTCAGTAAGGTGACTGTCATCTGACTTTCATTTGCATTCAATTCTTGGTTTGTGCATAATGGCTGAAATCCTGTTGTGCAATTACACAAAAGGTGCAAGTTTTGGAAATGAGTTGCCATAAGTAAAGAGAGCTCTGTAGTAATTATTTGTTGAATGCTGAGTCATGTGACTCCACATGCAGCAGTTAATGTCTATGAAGATTTATTTGCTTGCAGCCATTCACTTCCAAATGTTACACCACTTGTGTAACTGCGTAATGGGATTTTGGCCAGTGAAATCTAGGAACTGTGTAAAATGAAACTAGTTCATTCCTCTTCTTGACTGCAGAGGAGGAGTAAAGATGGAGGGGCATGCGAAACTGGCAGGTCCTGTTGATCCTTTCTGCTTTTGCACATAGTGCTAAACTCTAGTGTGGCACAGTTTTTCCCAATATAGTGCCTTCCAAGTGTTCTGGACCACGACAAGATGCTTTGGACCAGCTAGCACAACCAATGACCAGGAATTATGGGAGTTTCAGGTTAAAATATCCATAGATGATCAGGATGGGGAAGACCTGTTTAGCATACCTTATAATCTCAGAGTGACTTACTTCCCATTATGGTTGAGAGGAAAAATGAGATACACTATCTTGTAAAGGCAGAGCACAAGATATTCATTTGCTTATGTTTCCTCTCATGGCATTAGGATTTCCCCATCGTTTTTCTTTTCTTTTCTTGGTGCACGTATCTGGCTCAGAGAAACAAATGATATAGAATGAGGACCCTGATAGTCTCAGAAGAAAATAATGATTACTTGTTGCTTCCTTTGTTAAAGATTGTTATTCAGTCATCATCTCCTGTTGAAGCCAGTGGTTGGCCAGTTGATTATGAAGACATGGAATCAGGAGATAATGGATTCCCTGGGGATGCTGATGAAACAGAAATCACCTTTTCCAGTCAGCCTGAAATTGTGGTGGTATGTGACAATTTTCTGTAACTTGGCCACAGTAGCAAAAATGCACTTGTGAAATTTAGAGCAGAGACATTACCCTTTCCTTGGATTTTGTTTACTAAAATATGGCTTAAGCCATCCTCTTGAGGCCTAGGCAGTTTTGGAAAGCTCACAGGATTGTAGGGATGAGATACTTGGTGTGCTGAACTGGGAGCATGTTAGACTAACAAACTAGAAAATTTAATAAATCTGAATCAAGGAGTAGAAGGGCTAAATGTTAGTCATTCCTAGAGCAGATTTGTTGAAATCAATGGGGTGCATTTTCATTTTGACTAGCAAATCCCAATCACTGTGGTGGAGTACTCCAGCTAGCACGAATGTTGATTTTTAATTTTTCCATAGGAAAATGTTTGTTAACTAATGATATTTTTTTAACCTATATATTGAAAGATAAAGGTTTTCTGTGCAGGACCATGTTCTACTTATATGTGAGCTTTTTATAGGCATTGATTCTAAACAAAGGAAGATCTTTATCCCCATTTCCCCCTACAAAAGGCCCCCAGTTTTATTCTTTCATTTGTACTGCGTAGTCAACTTATTTTGAATGGATTTCTTTTCTTAGTTCAACTGCACATTTCATCAACCGAGAGCTCCTAAGGTGCGCTGGCCACCTGAAACACGCATCAGTAATGTGACATTTGGCATGGAACTGTATGAAACAAACCTCTTCCGTACCCCAACTCAAGGCTTCTTCTCCGTTGCAGAAAACGGCCAGATTTTTGTTGAGGTAATGAACTCCTGACAGGTACAGAAATCAATGAAATATTCTCTAGGAAGTTGGAAGTTTAGCTGCCTGTTTTCATCTCTGCCCCACCTGGCACTGCAGTATTGCCTCAGGCAGACAGATTGTTCTCTTCTCTTCCCTGAAAAGGAAAGTTAGAGAGATCATGGGAAAGAAAAAGCTTTTGTGCGTAAAGACCAGAGGTTTCTCGTAGCATGTTCAAACCCAGTGCAAATAAGAGTGTAACCCACCTCTGGGAAACAACAGTTGCTAAGCAGTTTTGACTCTTCGGGGAAACACAAACAATAATCCAAGGAGCTATTAGCAAAGAGTAAGGTTTCATTTTATTTAGTAATTGGGCTCAATTTGGTTCCAAAAAAGGTATCTCAAAATAATAAACCATTGTCTGTGTTTCTGTGTTGCCTTCTGAATGTTAGACAAGATTGGATAGAGGTAAGTCTTTGCGTGCAGACCTCTCTTTCTCCAGTGAACTCAAGACTGTCCACATGGTTCTTTTCCTCTCCTCTCATGTTGTCACAATAATAACCTTGTGATGTTGAGAAAGCTGAGGGAGAGTGACTAGTCCATGAGGAAGCTTTCTGGCTCTAATAAAGATCTAGACAAGGTTCTTTTCAGCTCCAGTCTGACACTAACTGCACTACAGTTGTGTTGCTTATTGGTGCTGCCTTGGATTCTGCAATCTGGGCACTATAAGACAATGGTTGAAATCTTCTTTGCTTAGCATAATAAGTCACACTAGAGAAGACCCATTCAGTGGAGTTTTGATGAGACTTCCTCCACGACTTTCATTATTTCAAACAGGCCTACTCTAGTTGTAACTTACTTTAGCATACTTTAACTGCAGTAGGCTCATTTGAATTAGTGGAACTTACAAAAGAGTTGATTCACCAAATCACCACTGATTCAATAAGCCTGCTAGAGAAGACCCATTCAGTGGAGTTTTGATGAGACTTCCTCCACGACTTTCATTATTTCAAACAGGCCTACTCTAGTTGTAACTTACTTTAGCATACTTTAACTGCAGTAGGCCCATGTGAATTAGTGGAACTTACAAAAGCGTTGATTCACCAAATCACCACTGATTCAATGAGCCTGCTCTACCGTGTTTTCCCCAAAATAAGACAGGGTCTTATATTAATTTTTGTTCCGAAAATGCATTGGGGCTTACTTTCAGGGGATGTTTTATTTTAGAGTCGTGTCATCTTCTTCTGGTTGCTGCACAATGGTGGAGGGCAGGGTTTCACTTAACTGGGGCTTATTTTGGGGGTAGGGCTTATATTATGAGCATCCTGAAAAATCATACTAGGGCTTATTTTTAGGTTATGTCTTATTTTAGGGGGGAAACAGGGTAGTGTGACTTACTGTGCTAAACAAACAAGATTTTCACCAATGTTTGCAATCCAGTTTTGGCAACTAAGTACCTCCCATAAAGTATTTTGGGATTCAGTATATTTACCCACTTGTGATTTCTATCTCTGTTCCTTGTAGATTGGCAGAGATAGCATGATAGATATAAGCAGTTGGGTGTAGTGTGCACCATATGTGGGGCTTCCATCTGGCATTTCGTGCCTTCACCAATGGTTACATGTCTTCAGGACAGTCAGTAGCTCCAAAACAGCCAAGTAGTTTCCTTTATTTCCAGCCTATAGCTAAGTAACCCTTGCCAGACATTCAGTCGTAGGCGTTTTGAACTTGTAAATGCCCCCTCAGAGTGTTCTGTACAGTGTCAAGGTTGCATGCATCCTGTCTTTGTAAGTTAACTATCCCATTAACCAAGGCCCTAGTTAATTAAATATCTCATAGCTTTCTCATTTACCAAAATTAAATATTCTAGATGAGAAATATAAGAACAGCTGGCTTGACTTCTGGTTATAACAATGAATTTCTTGTAGTTAGAGTTTATGTATTCTTTTCCCACTGCGAGCCTGATCCAGCAGTTAGTTAGTATGCTAGTTGAATAGTACACTGGTGCATCACAGCTATCATAAAGAAGCAGCATACTCAGAATCAGAAGAGGATCCAACCCAGTCACTATGGTACAACCAGAATCACTGTTGCAGGAAGCTTTTAGTCCTGGCAAGGCACTGCAAGCTTGTGGTGCCATCTTGCCACATAATACGTTTTAACCATCCATATCCTTTTTTTATTTTTTTTATTTTTTGGCATGTGTTTTCTCAGCTTTAGGTGTGCTTGTTGTTTGCTGAAGGCTCAGTTTCCTGCTCTAACTGTTAAAAAAGAGAGGAGCAGGCAGTGCCAACACAGTGGAGGCTTTTTAATGGAATGTGCCCTTTGTTTAGAAACTAAACTGATGGAAGTCTGAAAAGCTTCAAATGAGTTGTGTGGGCGCTGTGTGTTTTTTTTTTTAAAGAACTCTTTTTTTTTTTTTTACACTAATGAACAAAACTGCCATTTCTTTTGGCAATCTGAGATGAACCCTATCGGCTCTCCATCTGGTCCTATCATTAGTGCTTTGGACAGTTGTAGCTTTTTCATCACCTGTCCTGGGCACAAGTTTGCTGTTTTCTCTCTACACAGTGGAAAATACATATCTGTGCCCGACATCTGTTCCCCATCCTCCAGTGACAGAATTTATTGTGGTTTGATTTTTTGAAATGCTGGTTTCTTTGGTTGATAAATTACCAATGAAATAATCTGCCTGAGTTTTCAATTTTGTGTTTTTACGTGAACATTTCTATTATAGTGATTTTCTTTAGAGGCAAATCCTCACCTGTATATGGATCTCTGCACCATGATCCCTTCCATCATAGCCTTCTTAAAGGGTGGTTTTATTTTTTATAATTTTGAATATGATGTGAGATTTCTTTTATCTTTTAAAAACTTTTATAGCCCTAACTAATCATAAGGCTGTGGGATGGGTACCAAGAGTTTTGAAAACTGTGGCTAGCAGCTATGCTGGCCAAGGGATGCTGGGGACGATAGCTTTTTAAAGTAACATTTCCAAGCTTTGCAGCATTTATACAGCTCCCTTCAGTGATGGACTGACCTTATGTATTAGGGAATGCAAAGACCTTCTGGAAATTTAAGTCTTATATAAGACACCATTCCAGATGAGAAAATAAATAGCAATTCCCCATTTTACTACCCAAGTGTAAGCAATTCTGCTCTCTTAAATCTCTACCACATGCGTCAAACTTTTCATTAGACCTTTGTACCACATAGGAGGACCCTATGAGAATCCCACCGTAAAAAGCCTGCAACATTCTAAAAAGCTATGTCAATATTTTTCTGCCTCTCAGGTTGAAGATAAGTTCTTTTAGGAAGGAATATAAAGAAAAACTGACATTTGCTAATTGTTATATAGTGGAGTTCTAGGCATGTTTAAAGAGAAGTGTCACTACACTCAGTGAGGCCAGCTCCCTTTTGAGTGTGTTTAGAACTGCAGCCTAAAGCTCTCATAGTTTTAAATCAATGTATCATGTTTTGCTGAGAATGAAATGTATTTTCTAACTTCTGTCTACAGTTTTTGAGAGTAATACTATAGAACTGCAGTCTGTTCATTCAAGTGTTTGGGCATTTCAAGTGACATGGAGAATGTGCAAATATCATGCAGAAAACATGTATCCAGATAACAACGGTTATCTCATGTGTTCAGTTTGTTACATAGAGCTTAATGACAATGAAATTATTTTCTCTTGCCCTTGCTGCTCTTTCTGAGACCTCTCATCTCTCTATAGGCATATTAGCTAGAAGGCATTCCATCACTTACCTGTCTGGATTTTTACTAGGCTTTCTAAGTGTAGGGACGTGGTGGTGCTGCAGGCTAAACCACAGAAGCCTGTGCTGCAGGGTCAGAAGACCAAGCAGTCGTAAGATCGAATCCACGCGACGGAGTGAGCGCCCATCGCTTGTCCCAGCTCCCGCCAACCTAGCGGTTCGAAAGCATGCAAATGCAAGTAGATAAATAGGGACCACCTCGGTGGGAAGGTAACAGCGTTCCGTGTCTAAGTCGCACTGGCCATGTGACCACGGAAGATTGTCTTCAGACAAATGCTGGCTCCATGGCTTGGAAACGGGGATGAGCACCGCCCCCTAGAGTCGAACATGACTGGACAAAAGTTGTCAAGGGGAACCTTTACCTTTACCTTCTATGTGGGTATGATGGGCAAATGCCTGAGAACCGATGTGGTTGAACATTGAGTTACTTTCCTGCTGTTAACAGAGCTGTTCTGCAAAGCATTTTCAGTGTTTAAAAGTTCATTATTTGGGGCGGGGATTGGGAAGGTTAGCCTTAATTAGCATAACAATTAAAAATCTTTTATTCTTTTGATGCAGATTTCTGTGACCAAGGCTGAAAGATCCCTCGGTTTTGCAATCCAAACTTGCTTCATTTCTCCAAATTCATACCCTGATAAGATGTCGGAGTATACCATTATTGAAAACATTTGTCCCAAAGATGAATCTGTGAAATTCTACAACGTCCCGAGGGCTAGATTTCCTCTGTTAAATGCGCAAACGGACAAAAAGCGCTTTAGCTTCATGTTCAAACCTGTATTCAACACCTCCCTTCTTTTTCTGCACTGTGAGGTGACCTTGTGCACCGAGGAAGAGAAAGATACTCAAGGACTAGCCAAGGTCAGTATTTTAGACATTTATTTCGGTCTTCTAATCTGCACCATTGTACCTGTGTTTATGATTTGTACTAATAAGTGCTGTGCCAGGAAAGTATCTGGGGTGGATTAATGTATCATGTTGTCTTGGACACTGCTTTTTTGGGGGGGAGGGGAGAGAAGCAGGATTATTACTCCCAAAATCTTCTAGCCAGCAGCAGCCATGCTGGCTGAAGGATGTTGGGAGTTGTGGTCCAAAAAATACTTTTTTCAAGCCCCAGCCCTGGCACAAATGAGATGTCGCCTCTGCTTTAGCAAGTTTAATCATGTTGTACACGACCATTCCAATTGAGGCAAGTATGGCTTGTCAGTTTGAAGTGGTGAAATGAAGTTTGTTTCTTCAGGAGGAATCACTGAAAAATAAATAACGTTTCCTTCATGCAATTGCAAGTCAGTTTTTCATCTTCATTTCAACTTTCAATAATAATGTTGGCAACGACGAATAAACAGGCCTTCTGTTTGATAATGTTTCCATAACATGTGTGAAACGACACTTTGGGAACCTCAAGCTATTACAACATAAAGGTGCACTTTAATGCAACAATCTCCATTTCCTGAAAGCATTTCACAGAACAGCCTTCTTTGGATAGAGACAACCTCCTGTAGCAACTTTGTACATTAGGATGTAACCTTCAGGAAGTGTTTGTCCCCTTTGCTAAGAATAGGCTGCTGCTGAAGGTACAGAATATTTACTCACAGTATGAAGCTTTTCCTAAATGCTCCAGGTGCGTGTATGATAGAGCCATATTGTTATCCTTATATTACGGATAAACAGCTAAAGGCTGCGTATTAGCTGCTTGTTACTCACAGTATGAAGCTTTTCCTAAATGATAGAGCCATATTATTATCCTCATATTACGGATAAACAGCTAAAGGCTGTGTATTAGCTGATTCTCTGATAACCAAGCCAATTTGTTAACAACAGGAGTATAAATGGAAGACATAGCCAATTCTCTTATATTAACTTTCTATAACATATGTGGATGAAGCCATTCTTATAAAATGTTCCATACAAAGATTCTGAGTATAAATAAAATATCCCACCACCACCACCACTTAAAAGGATCACAGATAGTTCAGCCATATATATTCATGGGATTAACTAAAAGTGTTTATGAACGAGTGCATGTTGTAGTTTTTGACAGCATGGTGTGTGTTTTTATTCTAAATGGTAACAGATGATGAATAGAAATTGCTTTCTCTTGTGGGTGGTGGTGATCCAGATTTATCAAAAGTTATTTTACAGTTTTGGTTGTAAACGATGCATTTGTAGTCATATTCCAAATCTTGCTGAGATTTAACAATGCCATTATTTTTAGACTTCCGTGTATGAATTGCTAGCTTGACCTACCTTTGGAGGGGGGGAGGTTGAAAGCAAATAAATGAAGTGGGTTTTTTTTCATTCTTTAATCACATATTTGCATAGCATATTCAGTTCATAGTGCATAGGAAGGAAAATATTTGTTTTGAGCAAGAAAACTATAGATCATTTTTTTATAAAGGGATATATTTAGACATATATTTAGTTGTGTGACTGTGTGGGTAGAAAAGGAGGTCAGCCTTTCTACAGTTATTTTGAAGCAACAACTAGATTGTTGTTGACATTGACATAGCAGAGCCAAGGGCCACGGTGTTGAAGTAGTCACACTCCTTGATTAACCAGGGTGATTATATCACCTGCCATTCCTCTCAGGCTTCTCTTTTAGCTCTCACGAATCCAATGATCCTTACAACAGCCAAGAGTAAATGGATTTTCTAAGCAACTGCATACATATTAAGTAATCCAGCTTGCAACACTTAAGTATTTGTGGGTGGCATGGTTTAGAATGGGCAACAACGCTACAGAACTTTTCCAAAAGACCTCCTGGTGGAGATGAAGGCTGCTTAATCTGGTTTGATGATACTGGATCAGCACAGCTGCCTGCATTTCTGGACCCTTTGTGGAGTGTATGACTGCAGGGATTGCCCTAATGGACTTTTGCATTGCAGAGTTTACAACCGCACCACTGGCTGTTAACACTGTTAAGGAACTCATGCAGCCGGATGTTTGTTAGGTATTTTACATAAGCTCAGTAATGGAAGCAGAGTGTACAGCCTGAAGCGCAGCTGCAGATGCTTTTTCGGAATATGATTTGGGTTTTGATAAATGGGTTTTCTGTTTGATAAACATCCCCAAGTGCTGCTGATAATGAGGCAGCTGTGCATCTGTGCTGATAATGTAAATGTGAGTCCCTGATCTCACAAGACCTGTGTTGTCTCATCCTGCAGTGCATCGCTCCTGATGAAGCCTGCACCTTCCTCAATGTTGACATGATCCTTGCAATGATGCAGAATAAGAAAACCTTCACCAAACCCCTTGCTGTGATAACTCATAACAGGAAGACAGACGGTATCAAATACATTTTGAGTCTCTTAACAGGAGAACATTTCATTATATGCTGCCACTTGAATTATAAACATAATTCATAATTCTTGTTTCATATTCTAATGCCATTTGTGTTTCTGAGCTACAGGGTGGCATCATCTTTGAGTGCTGACATTTATTTGCTCTTTTATTTCCTGTAGGTTTTTTATAAAATATGACTTGGGTGAGGACTAGGAAAGGAATGCATTTTGATGTTTCATGGCAATAAGGGATTCAGTCATGCTATTTGAGTTGGCTGGGTAGCTCTGTGGTTTAGTTTTCTGGTTGCTAAGCCAGAGGTTGGGAGTCCCTCTATGCCTTCTAGGAGAAGAACCAGCCTGTGTAGCCTTGGGCAAGCTGCAAAGTCCAACTGCACCCCCAGAAGAAAGAAATAGTAAACCACTTCTTTGTATTCTCTACCTGGAAAACACTGGAGAGTAAAAGGTCACCAAAAGTTAGAATTGACTTGATGGCATGCAATCATCATTAATGCTATTGGATCACTTCCAGTCATTCCTTACTGCTTAAGCACTGAAAATTATTTTAATTTATTTCTGTATGGCTCTAAATATTTATTTCACCATCCTAGTTATAACGGAACCTCCAACAAATTGAAAATATTAAATCATGATGTTCCGTTGTAAATAAAAGGGGCATGCGCATGCAGAATACATCTGCTATTAAGATAATGCTTGCTAAGTGATGAGAACCTGGAAGATTTCATTAATTTTTCTTCTTGTATAAAATATATGAATATGTATCATATATATGGACATACAAACCCCTGTGAAAAAAGTATAACATATAGACTTATTGCAAAACACTTTATGTTCTGTAGGAAAATACAGTTCTAAAAATAGGATATAGAAATATCTGTCTATAAATTAACAAGGTCTCAGGGGTTCTATCTGCTAGGAAAGAGAGCTTGAAAATACCGAGTTACAAACAAAATGGCACTTATTCCTTTCCCAATAACTGAGGAATAACTAAACCACATTAAAATGCAAACAATTTCTTTTGTGGTGTAATTTTTTGGTCATCTTTCTAATCATGAGGTGTAACTGAATAGCAAAGGACATGACTCAAAAGTTGGCTTATGAGTACCTTGTGATTCTGAAGGAGTACTATTCAGATGTTTGTTAAAGAAAACATGAAGCAACGACAAAGAAAGATGTGCCACTATTTTCTATTGAAAGCTATGAAAAAACTAATTTGTTTGCTATAGATTTCAATTGCTGTCTTACAGGGATGTTGATGTATGAGCTCTTTGGTCATATATATTCCATTCTGGTTATAGAAATTTTCTTCCTTGTAGATAATTAACTTCCATTATTCCAGATATACCAAAAAAAGCAGTACCTGTATTTGTGTGAGTAAAACTAAAGAGAGGGTTGTACCAAATCTACCTGATCTACCATTGATTCTGTCTACCCTTCTCCTTTCTTTAAAAACAAGCAAACAAAATTCCTCATTAAAAATTCCTCATCTTGATAAATGTTAACCGTTTATCTAATATTTATCTGGACATGTCACTGTTTGAAATAGTAGGAGATAAATTATGTGCTTCCCTTGGAGAGATATGTTACATTTCCAAATATCACAGGTATGAAAATGCCCCAACTTTTGTATGGTGCAGAATCCAAGTTGTATGAAATTTAACGGGAACATATGCTTTATCAAATATAATAATAATAGTTATGTGTTATCAAGACAATGGCAGCGACACTTTTCAGGGGTTTCTATGTAGAGGATACTCAGAAGTGGTTTGTGCAGCTTGCCCAAGGCTACACAGGCTGGCTCTTCCGGGATGCACACTGGGGTATTAAACTCCCAGCCTCCACTTCTGTAGCGAGATACTGTACCTAACTTGCTGAGTTATGCAGCCAGCATGATCAAATCTACTCCAGTTTAAATCCTGTCTGTATGATTTTTTTCAGCACTGAGTAATCTTGCTATAGAACAATCAAGTGGTAACTTTCCCAGTAACTCCATCCTCACACTCTCAGTTACTTGAGCATCTTCTGTCCCAATATAAGCCTGAGTGTTCCTTATCATTTGGTCTGGTATCTTAGAATTCATCTCATTGTGTAATGAAGACATGTTGCTTAAATGGCATGAACTGAAATATTTTCCCCCTGAACTCTTGGAGGTCAGCATTACAGTAAGTCAAAAATTAACAGATTAATCTTAGATTCCTACTTTGGCACCAAAGAGCAATCAATCATTTCTGGCCCTCTTATTACTTTTTTTTTTTAATCACAGGTTCGCTCAACCAAAACCAAGGACTCAGATCCCTAATCTTGCTGCGCCTGCTGTTCTAGTTTATACATGTTTTTACTCCTGAAAGCATGACTGCAGGAAAACAATGGAAGGCTGAGGAATGTAGCTAAAATGTTGCATTATATAGATATGCCTTTAGGGTGAAGGTAAAACGTAGAATACGGTTGAATAGCTAAGAAATGTTGAGATACCAATCTGAAGTCAATGCATGCTGAAGCTGGATCTTGGTTTTAAAATCAGGATAGATCATACATGTGCAGCAGAAGAGAACACAGGAAGGGAACAGTTAATGGTATAGTTACATCAAGCTATCCCTTCTTGGAGCCCCTTTACAACAGCAGGGATGCACATATAAAATTATTTTTAAAACCTCAAAATAAGCACTAGCCTTGGCCGTTCCTGCTTGGTGTTCACATGGCACTTTAATTAGAAGGTTTCAGAGGTTTCACTTGGAGATCAAAATCTTTCAGTTGCGTGCAAAGACTGTTTGAAATTCTGGAATGCTTTCCAGGGAGATTTAAAGGCTCAGAAATCCTTTCACCTCAGTCCTGCAGCGCCTGCTTTTCTGGCCTTTAAAGCAGTTTATGGTAATACCATAGAGCATTGCTTGGGGGACCTGAGGGGCAACTGTTTCTGCTTAACTATGCGGCTACAGGGAGTTTTGCAACTTTTTATCTGTAAGACAAATGAATCCTCTGAGGATGATACAAAGGGGGGGGGAGATTTGGCTTCCAAACACAAGTCAATTAAAAACGCATGCTCGTTTGTGTCTTTCTAGCTCTATTCCTGAGTCTTCCACTCATTGCTGTGATTATAAGACTTTGCTGCTGGATGAACAGGAATAGATGTAACCTTGGCTGGAGTTTTGACTGCACAAAGCATTGGGCGCCTGCTTAGTTTTAAGATCAACAGATTCTTTAGAAAAAATAAATTGCAGCGAGATAAGAAGACAATAGTGTGATAGAGAACGTAGTGCACTGGAGGCAGGCTAGATTATTTATGGGATGTCCGGTGGAAAGTTGCTCAGGTTTATTTTCTCCAGAAATCCAGTTTAGTGGGCAGTTGTACATGAACAATGTGCCTTTGTTTGCGTACAGCTTTCTCTGTAAGGAATCCAGCGCTCCTCTGCTTGAGGCTAACTGCCATTGTAAACTAAAAGCCAATTTGTAAGGCTTAGAAAATGAATTATAGCAATACACAAAATGACTATATAAGAGCATTTGCATCTCCAAGATGCTGGTTATCATCTGCTTTGATGCAAAACAGGCCAGCTATTGTGCGTATTGTTGCAAACCATATCCTTGGAGCCATTCCTGCTAGATCTTCATCAGCAGCCAAAGAAAGAGGCCCATAGCCTTCTAGACACGAGTCAGAACATAATGTTCCATTTAGGATGTCCACTCCCTCCTCCTCATGTCATATGTATGACTCCCATTAGTAGTGATGGGATTGTGTGGTTTTACATAGTAAGAAGAAAACAAATGCTCCCAGGTTTTATTTTTACAAGGCTAGTTTTTGCTTACTGAACCTATTGTCTTATGGAGCCAGATCACAATCAAATTAGGGAGACCTAGAAGCATTTGATCTGGATCTGGTCTATAATATTACACGAGATGATGATGCAGCTGTTGTTCTTGATTAGTAGTCACGTGTCCAGACCCTTGTTCTCAGCAGAGAAGCCATGACATAATAGGTATGGATTGCCACATCAAATGCATAACACTTTAAAAAAACAAAGTACATCAGTTTCCTATTGCTGTAAGCTAAGAAATGATATAACAATGATGGTCTCAAATCCATCACCAGCTGGACAGGGGATGTGAGCATAGAGTATGGGAAGTTATTTTAGGATAGTAATGGAGAATATAGCACTGATGTTGTTGAACTACGGCTGCCCTCAAGCTGCACCATCAGTTAGGCTGATTGGGGTGTTGGAGTCCAGCAACATCTGGAGAGCCACAGTCATGGTGGTGTTTTAGGAAGAAATTAGTAGCAAGTGGAGTGGAGATGCTTGGAATCATCTGATAAGACTGTACAGGTCTGCATGCACACTTACAGATAAATCTTCTGATGTTTATGATTAACAGAGAAATGGATTTCCATCCCTCTTTACACACTGACCCACGTTACTTCTGTTCTGACTGGGTTTCTTAATGGCTAAAATTCTGTTGCTCAGTGTAGTAAGTTGCAACTAGAGTAGGCCCATTTGAATCAATGGAACTTACAGATAAATCGACTAACCAAATCCCCAATGATTTAGTGGACCTACTCTAGTGCAACTTACTGTGCTAAGCGACAAGTTTCCAGCCAATACAGTATATTACTGAATCGACATAGAGACTGCTTATGGGGTGTATAAAGTTCTGCTGAAGCTCTTCTTATTCATCGCTGCCCTTTTTTTTAAACAGATGAATCTTCCTACCCGAAACCTCCAGTAGGGTTACCATGTAAGTTACACATGCCTTCCCGTTCTAGAATGTTCCTACTGTTCACTTGTCTTTTCAAGACTATATAGAGGGAAATGTAATTAGTTTTATACCTGTAGTTATCATTGCAGTGGGTTCCACTGATATTGTAGCCATGGACATTTTCGCAGCACAGACAATGTAAATACCTTATGTGACTGAAGTAAAGAGTAGGGAACTGGGTGCTAGAATGTTGGGCATGGGATGCCCGGTTTCAAAGAGGCGTTCAGTTAACAGTTTTGTTATGGGGCCACGAGTTTCAGAGAACTGTTCTGAATGCAAGTGTCTCCCCAGTCCTTGCAAGCAAACATGCTTGTCCAAACCCCAAAAGACCTTCTCTTCCTCCATAAGATAAGTTGCAAGAGATGATTTGGGGCAGAGAAATAGGTGATGGTGCTGTTGCTTTGCTGGCCTCACCGCCTTCTTTTTGTTTGTTTGTTTGTTTGTTTTTTAAAGTCCAAATTGCTCCTTCTGTAAGGGGTGCTTAAATCACAGCTTAGGTGATACATATTTGTGGGAAATGTGTAGTTACCAGGGCTGTGTGCTGGATTTGGTCAAAGCTCAAATTACTAACAGGATTGGCCTGGTCTGGAACTGATGTGTTGTTGAGCTAGCTAGCAGAATGACCAGCTTCAGTTACAAGATGAAGCGAAGCAAATGTAACAATCATTTTGTATCTTGGGTATGCATATAATTGGCCAGGGCACAAATTGTTTCAGTCTTTTTTTCTGTGTTGCAAAAATTAAACAAGCAACTTTAAAAATGTCTGATATGCAGACCCCTGAAAGTAACTGCCCAAAATTTGAAAGGTTTACTTTCCCTGTTAGGATCCACTGAGACTCTGGATTCCATTTGCATCAGTGCAATAGCAAAAAGTTAACAGTGTTTTGAATTTTCCAGTGCAAGTCCATTGGGAGTTTACAAATCAATCCAGATGCAGGCCATAAATTGAGTCAATCCAGATCTAGAGCACAAATTACTCCAGACTGAATTTGGGATTCAGTCTAACATTGCAAACTGGCCTTTGCACAGCTGTAGTAGTTATGCCTCAATATTTTAACATTTCACTCTGGGCCCCTTGAAGAATCAGAGGATATAAATGCAAGAAACATTTTGTAGCACACAGACCTCATGTAACAGGTTCCAGCAAGCTAAGTCCCTGGAAAAAAAACCAATTCTCTTAAGATATGTAGTTTTGGATTTTTATTTTTTTTAATCAGCTGCAGATATAGATACTTTTTTTGCTATTAATGCCCATGTCATTAAAATTATTGCATATACTGTATAGTTGCATCTTAATAGAGATTAAATAAAACTGCAGTATGTAGGTATCTCTCTATGAAAGATGTAAGAGATCAGAATGGCTGGAAATGGTTGCATTTTTTTTACCAGCAAACCTTCAGCACAGTGTTTTCAGCCACCAGATTAATTCTCATACAGTTGCCCTGCTTCTCCCATAGGCAACTCAATATTATGGCCTAGAACTGACTTCCATGAATTGAACTGCTGCCAGATATGAGAAACAATTGATTCTATTTATGTATTTGCTGAATTTAACACTGCCATTGCCTCCCACTTAACAGCTTTTTTCACCCTCCACCTAATATGCTGGGAAGATGGAGAAAAATGGGCAGAGAATTTTTAATTATTTATCTATATTTTTTTAAAAAGGTCCCGCCCTACCCCAAAGGCACTTGCTTAAGGGATATCTGAATTAAAAATAAGCCTGCTAAAATTAGAGAAGTAAGTTATTTTAGTCTTTAAAATGTAAAAACAAGCAGCAACCAGCAGGAAACCTAGTAGGCCTCAGTATTAAGCTAGCGTCAGGTTCCTCACAGCTACATATTTAGACAATATCCTGCTTTCTTGCTTTGCTCCCAGGGCACAGGCCCCACTGCTGGATTACATGCTGATTTATCAAGCCATGCAGTTTTCTGTTTCCTCAGGCTTGATACTCTAGTTGAAAGTCATGGTCGAAACCACTTAAGTGCAAATAGAGGGGTTGCCTCAGCCCCAACTGTCTGCTAAAATAAAAAGGGCCTTCCTCCTCTCAAGAAGGTCTGCTAGCGAGCATCCTTCTCACTCCATCCCATTGATGCTTTCTCTTGTCTTGTTGGAGACCCCTATCTATTGCTCAACCACTCCCAGAAGTAGCTTTTCAAACAGGAACGGAGGGTGAGAGCCACATGTACATGATCACAGAAGGTGGGAAAGGAGGTGGCAGCTCTCATTTTTTGCTGAGAGAAGAGGAAGATGGGTTTGAGTTTCCACAAGGTGGTGGGGGGAGGCAGGAAGTTAATGAGCTACTAGTTTCTCATGTGGGATGGGGGTGAAGGCATTTTTCTTTGCTTTATTGTCTTGATTATTCCAGAATTTTGATTCTGCATTTCCCAGTGTGAGTACTACTTTTATTTATTCGTTTCTTTTCAATTTGACAGCAGACATCTCTGGCCTGGACAAGATAACAGTGGCAGGCATTGCCTTTGCAGCCTTTGTGATTGGTGCACTGTTGACAGGAGCACTGTGGTTTATCTATTCCCATACAGGTGAGTGTCACCTTTCTTCCTCTCCATGCATGCACCCAAATTGCACAGCACGGGTGTAATTTTAGATACCTTCAGATAATTACAGTCTGCTATTGTGTTCAAAGCCACGCAGAAGCAACTATGTTTGAATAGCAGTGAAATTTAACTACAGTGGTGCCCCGCTTGATGACGGCCCTGCTTGACGATGAGTTTTTTGCGATCACTATAGCGATCGCAAAACAATGGTTCCTATGGTGTTTTTCACTTTACGGCGATCGCAAAACGATGGTTCCTATGGTGTTTTTCGCTTTACATTCATTAGGTGCCTGCTTCGCGAGCCGTTTGTTCGCAAAACGATGTTTTTTCCGGCTCCGCAAAATGGCTTCCCTTCACAAAATGGCTTCCCTCCCTTCGCAAAATGGCTGTTTTCCAGACAGAAGCTTTGGAAGACAGCAATTTTAAACAGCTCACCGGTTTTCAAAACGATGGTTCCTATGGTGTTTTTCGCTTTACATTCATTAGGTGCCTGCTTCGCGAGCCGTTTGTTCGCAAAACGATGTTTTTTCCGGCTCCGCAAAATGGCTTCCCTTCACAAAATGGCTTCCCTCCCTTCGCAAAATGGCTGTTTTCCAGACAGAAGCTTTGGAAGACAGCAATTTTAAACAGCTCACCGGTTTTCAATGCATTCCTATGGGGATCTTCACTGGACAATGAGGTATTTCCCCACTGGAACGCATTAACCGGTTTTCAATGCATTCAGATGGTTTTTTTTTCCGCTTGATGATGATTTCGCTTAATATCGATTTTCCTGGAATGGATTATCGTCGTCAAGCGGGGCACCACTGTATGGGGAATGTTAGTAAAGTATAACAAGCATGTGAATTGCATATGTTGTGGTTTTTCATTTTAGAAGTACATATATTATGCTTTTACCTCAAATTGCTTAGAGCAAAATCACACCAGTGGATTCTTCCAGTTGTAGTTAGGTAGGCCTCCCTTGCTCATTGTTTTGAGTTTCTTTCTGACATCCATACAATATTAGTTTTATCCCAGTTCACACCAGGGTTTCTGACATCCATACAATATTAGTTTTATCTCAGTTCACACCATTTTCCTTAAATGTCCCTCAGATCAAGGTTCAGCCTTTGTTTGTTTGTTTGTTTTGTGCTAGTGTATTTGCATGATGTTTTCAACAGTATATATGTTCCATCATAGAATCATAGAATAATGAAGTTGCGGGGGCTTATAAGGCCATCAAGTCCAACCCCCTGCTCAATGCAGGAATCCAAATCAACATGGATTTGGATTCAAATGGTTGCCTAATTTTCTTTTGAATGCTTCCAACATTGGAGTGCTAACCACTTCCCAAGGCAGTGGGCTCCATTATCATACATCTCTTAGAGTTAAGGAGTTTTTCCTGATATTCTACCTAAATCTGGCTTCCGGTAACTTGAGACCATTATCATGTGTAATGCACTCTTGTATTATTGAGAACAGATCCTGCCCCTCCTCTATGACTACCTTTCAAGTACAGTGGTGCCTCACTTAGCGATGTTAATCCATTCTGGAAAAAACATCGCTAAGTGATTTAATCGTTAAGCGATATTAAAAAGCCCATAGGAACGTATTAAAACGCGTTTAATACATTCCTATGGGCTAAAAACGTACCTTAAAGTGAAATTCCTCCATAGCGGTGGCCATTTTGGGTGCCTCTAAAGCGAGGCAAAACAGTGGTGGCCATTTTGTTTTTGTGGCAGCCATTTTTGAACCGCCAATCAGCTGTTTAAAAAAGATCGCTTTGCCATGATCGCTTCCCCGCGATCATCGTAAACCCGAATTTTAGCCATAGGGGCCATCACTAAGTGATCGCTCCAGCGATGGCCAAAAGTCCATCGCAAAGCGATTTTTTTTAATTAAGTTTTTTTTAACAAGGGGGTGACAAAAAGGAAAAGGGAAATTGAAGTTAACAGGGAAGAGGAGAAACAATAACATACTAATGTCCATTCTATACCTATTGCCATATCAAGATTCCAAGTTACTCTATTTACTCTTTTCTGCCTCCCAGGTTTAAGTTCTCATTTCAGTATGTGCGATTCATGCGCTACCTGTTGATTCAATCCACTTGTAGAATAAGTCCCATCTTTCTGCTGCCTTTTGCAAAGCGATTTCATCGCTCAATGGAGCGATCGCTAAGCGAGGCACTACTGTATTTGAAAAATACTATCTGAAGACAAGGAGTTGAAAATGCTTTGTATTTCATATCTGAAATGAAGGTAGAAATCTGTTTACATTTGTTAAGGAGTATTCCCATCAATGTGTATTGAAAAGCACACAAGGGCCAAATTCTACACTAATCATTAGCACTACAATCATGTTAGCGTTGAAGGGATGTGATTGAGGTAATCAGAGGAAGACCAGTCACTAAACAAAACAAACTAATTTTCAAATTATAGGATGTGGAGAAAGCTCCTCATCATATACGATCAATCCTCAAGGTGTGGTTTTTTGTAATGTTGGCAAAATTAAAGGAGAAAACAGTGGGTTGGGGGAGGATGGAATGTGTCTAAGGAAATGGATTTTGATCCACAAATACTCATACTAAAATAAGTCCATCTTCAAGATACCACACTATTTTCTCCTTGTTTTTCTTTTTTCTTCCCCCCCCATACAAGTCTTCAAGTTACTTGACAGAAAGATAGCCTATAAATATAGCAAAAAATTTAGATAAATGCTTATAGCTTTACTACTTGAGCTATTAATTTACTATGTAATCCTTTAAAAGATTAACCAAAACTGTAGCAGAATATAGGGCTTTTTCCTAAGAATTAAAATAGGTTTGTGGCTGCCACATTAATGTTTTAGGTATTTACAGTGTTTCTAATCTGTTCTATATCAAGAGATACCAGGGCAAGGTGTAATTGGTGATTAGCACATTGCTAATCACTGATTATTACAATGATTAAAACATTAACATTAGCTAATGTAATTTAAATATTTTGTTGTTATTGCTATCAAATCACTTCTGACTTACATCAACCCTATGATTTGTTGGCCTCTGATAGCTCCTATCATTAACAGCACTGCTCAGCCCTTGTAAACAAAAAGCCATGGCTTGCTTTATTGAATCAGTCCATTTCATGTTAGGTCTTCCATACCAGCCAGCTTGCCCTTGCACAAGCAGGTCCTGGATACCTTCTTGCACAAGTCCCATGACAGTGAAAACATTTGCACCAAGGTTGTTCTGTATCCAGTCTTCTTGGCATAAGATTCTGGTCTTAAACGAGCACAAAAACATTCATGGACAAAAGCCCAGTTCCATCCTTTGTGAGACACAATCTGTGGAAACCATATAGTACTTGGGCTGTCTCCCCCTAGCAGTGGTTTCCAAACTTGGGTAACCCCGGTTTTCTTGGGCAGCAACTCCCACCAGTTGTACTGGTTGGGGTTTCTGGGAGGTGCAGTCCAAGAACACCGGCGTTACTCAAGTCTGCAAACCATATAGCGTACAACCTAGGAATCAGGACCTCTTCTATTCACCTGGTGTATTCCACCAGCCTTATCCCCTTGGCTGTCAAAGTCAAGATGCTCCCTGTGTTACAGGCCAACCGACTGCTTCCAAGATGGCAGTGGGCATTATTAGTACAGGGCATTTGAAGTTCTGATAACATTAACAGGCCCTTCCTCCAGTCAATTAAGATTGTTTTTCTTTTTTCTTCCCCCCCCATACAAGTCTTCAAGTTACTTGACAGAAAGATAGCCTATAAATATAGCAAAAAATTTAGATAAATGCTTATAGCTTTACTACTTGAGCTATTAATTTACTATGTAATCCTTTAAAAGATTAACCAAAACTGTAGCAGAATATAGGGCTTTTTCCTAAGAATTAAAATAGGTTTGTGGCTGCCACATTAATGTTTTAGGTATTTACAGTGTTTCTAATCTGTTCTATATCAAGAGATACCAGGGCAAGGTGTAATTGGTGATTAGCACATTGCTAATCACTGATTATTACAATGATTAAAACATTAACATTAGCTAATGTAATTTAAATATTTTGTTGTTATTGCTATCAAATCACTTCTGACTTACATCAACCCTATGATTTGTTGGCCTCTGATAGCTCCTATCATTAACAGCACTGCTCAGCCCTTGTAAACAAAAAGCCATGGCTTGCTTTATTGAATCAGTCCATTTCATGTTAGGTCTTCCTCTTTTGCTGCTACCTTCCACTTTTCCTACCATCACCACTTTTCTACAGAGTCTTGTCTTCTTGAGTTAGTTGGAGGCCCAACTGACGCCAGCATTGACTATTTGGAGACACCACTCTTTATCAGTGGGACATGGGGGAGCCCGTTCCAGATATTAATCACTGGGCAGGTACATAAGGGAAGATGTACTCCTTCAAATGTGTAGGTCCAAAGTTGCTTAGGTATTAAACTGTGGCTTTCCATTGCTCTTTTTAAATTGTATTTTAAGTGGGTGATCTGCAAGGCTCTTTTAATGTATAGAATTTTAGGCTTCAGATTTTTGATAAATGGTATCCTATCCATCATGGTTATTAAAAAAAAGTCATGAAAAGTCAATTGTGCTACAAGAGTATTTTGATGAAAGCTGAGAAGCCAGAGATAATCTGCATAAGACTTGTGATAGTGAGCTTCCTCTCTTTCGTGTGTCTTAGGTTGTTTAATTTCAGGGCCCAATTGTCAGGCCACTTCACTACTCGTGATTCCTAGAACTTGGAAAAGTTTTTCAAACTACAGTTCCAAATTCTCCTAGCCAGTATGGCCCAATAAAATGCTGCTTGGGGGATGATGGTAGTTGCAGTTCAAAAACGGAATTATTCCAAACTCAGACTGTTCCCCAAGACACAAAATGTATTGGGGAAAATCCATGTTTTGTTTCTAGGAGACAAAGACATTACAGAATTATAAATTCTATAGGATTTTAGAAGCGAAACCCAATTAATCTAATGACAACTAATTTCAGTGATTGGTATTTGGTTGTAACATTAGAATTTCCCAGGTTTTACTGGAAAAATTGCATATGATTATGGTAGATGGAAAGTTAGCATGTGTATTGGAAGGACCTGGGGGTGGGGAAAGCACAGTGCAACAACCCTTTGTGTAAAGATGTCCTGCCTTCTCAAGGGATCTCTGGTAAAGGGTGGGATCTGCAGCAGAATCCCCAAGTACAGTTGCTAAGGTCATCCTGCGAGTGAGTGCCAATCATTTACATATTGAAAGGAAAAGGGGCATCTCCTGTTCCTGAGGGCCACAGCCATTCGGAATCGTACCTAGAAGTAATGCTAAAGCATTGGAACATCAGGACCTAGGTTTGTTCAGAAAGATCTATTCCTTTTGCTCTTTGTTTACAAGTTAAATCACATACAGTACACTTGATTATATGATATAAGAAACACTTTGGCTCTTCTAGAAGGAAAAACTTTCCTCAGATTTCAGGAACAGTTCCTTTGCCATACTTTGCCTCCTGCTCTTTCTCCTACGTGAGTAAGTCTTGCAAATGGAAAGGGCCAAGAACACGTCTATGTTATTGGTCTCAAACCTTCAAAAAGAAGGTGTTTCAAGATGTTAGCATTACTCACACCTTGGTTGCCCTGAGCTGTTAAGAGAGGCTGAAAGTGTTTCTCCCCTGTCTTCAGGACTGTACTTCCAATTATCAAGATTATTTTCCTTCCCCGAACTGGGGATGTTAAGAAGACTCTGTTTAATAAGATCTGATTGAAATAAATTCACAAAGCAACAAATTATGTTTGGCAAATGGGGATAGCAAAGTAAACAGTCAGATTTCCTGGAAGGGGAGCAGTACTGGCAGTCTTCCTGAGTGTGATTAATAAAGTACATGTTGTTGCACTCAGATGTTTACAGCCGTATAGATGGATTGAAGCATGGAAGAGTCTTATAGTGGGACACAGCCTCTTTGTGACACTGCCTCATTACTGAACTGTAAGAATCTGCAATGCAGGGTTGGATCTGGATCTGGAAATCTTGGATTCAGATTGCACTTCTGCAACATGCCGATTGAGTCATGTGCCAGCACAGTGTAGTGAACAGAGTACAGTATCAGACTAGGACTCGGGCAACTGGGATTCAAATCGCCACTTGGTAATGGAAGCTAACTAGGGAGTAGCACTGGTAAAATACCACTTAAATGTCACACATACCTCAGAAATCATACAGGCATTGTTGTAAGTCAGAATCAACACATGCATGCAGTTGAGTTATATGACATAAACAAAGTCATCCTCTTTAAGCTCCCCCCCCCCTTAGTAATATATTAATGGCCTACCTCACAGGGGATGTGCTGCTGGAGAAAGAAACAGAGCAAAAGAAAGAAACAGAGTGCCTTCTGCCCCTCAACATTGTAATATTTTACTGTTTGAGATATTAAAGTGTGCGTGTGAGGGGGAGAGAGACAGATGGATGGATGGCTAAACAACTGGTGAATGAGCTGTGTTGGAAACAATTTCCAGAACGACAGTGTTGCCTGTACTGTGAAATAAATGCCCCCAATGCATCGTTTGTGGTTAATGATTTCCACTGATTTTTTTTCACTAATAATTTACTGAAGCATCAATCCTATCAGTCCTATACTTATTTACTTCAAAGTAATTCCCATTAAAGAGGCACAGACAGGGTTGCCGCTTGGGCTCAGCTTTATTTGTTTGTAGGGCAAATTTGTTTGTTTGTTTGTTTATTTGTTTATTTATTTTTATTTATTTATTTAACATATATGCCGCCTTACACAAATAAATAGGGAAAGGTGGGTAGCATCAAAATGAATGAATCCTGAACTCCTGTTGAGCCATATTGTACTGCTAAAGTGTAGAATCTAATAGTCATAGAGGAACAGTCACAATATATACAGGGAGTCCAGGGGTGGCAGGGAGAGAATGAGAGTGGGGGAGAGAGGGGAAGAGCAGTGGCCTATAATTGCATTTTTGGATAAAAAACATTTGGCTTTGGGTAGGACCAAATAAGTATAAAACAATATACAGTATTTGTTCAGCCTATAACATGAATGGATTTCTATTTCATTTTTATATTTTTAAAACACAAGCCAAAAAGCAAGATCCAAATTCCAACTTTTTAAAAGTTGTATAGCTTGCATACCTTGTGCATGTTATATGTTGCATGTTTTGTGCAGTTTGCATGTTCGGCTGTGTGGGAAGATGAGTAAAAATCAAAATGGAGAGGGGTAGAAAAGGCTAAGAAACTGTGTGACAGCTGGCCAGCCAGCCAGCTATGTTGTGTTCAGACTGTGCTGCCTTGCACTTCAAAACTCAAGAATCTAAATAAGATGTCAGAACTGTCTAACATTCCAGATGTTGTTGAATGGTAATGCCATCTGCCCTCACTATGACTATGGTGTCTAAGCCTAATGAAAGTTGCAGCTTTGGAGGGCTACATGTTACCCATCCCTGAGCCAAAGAGTGAAGGCATGGAGTTACGACATTGCACTGAAATGTTGTAGAAAGGGGAGAAAGAGAAATCAGTGGCTACCCAAATTCTCTCCAAGCATAGCAGCAGGAATAAGGAACCAGCTCTCTCAGTGCAATGTTACAACAATAATTCTATAAACCAACAAATTGCATCCTTTTTTGAAAGCCCTAAACTGTAAATGGGAATTGGATCCACAAGTGGAAGGAACTCCAAAGAAAAGAGAAGCACAAAGCCAACTGAGAACAAGGAGAGAATTTGGGGCTGGTGCTTTCCCCCCACAACCAGGTGACTACAAAATCCATCTCTATATACTGTAGCCACATTTCTATACATTTCCACACCCACTTGGTATGCAGCTCACTAGCCACTGGGCTAATTCTATTATTTATTATTATTATTACTATTGCTGCTGCTGTTGTTGTTGTTAATAGTAGTAGTAGTACAGTAGTAGTAAAAGAGTTGCTGGGTCAAAGCTTAAGGACTGTCACTAAAGTAAAAGAGTGGTAGTAGTAGTAGTAAAAGAGTGTTAAGAGTGTGACGGGAGGGGGGTGTGTGTGTGTGGGTGTGTGGGTGTGTGTGTGTGTGTGTGTGTGTGTGTGTGTGTGTGTGTGTGTAATGAGATCTTATATATTTGGCATCCAGACATTGACAGCTGTGCATGCTTGCTGTCCCTGAAGATGGAAGGGTATCCTTCTACTCAAAGTTAGAGCAAAATGTATACAGATCATATCTGGTATGCTGCGGTTGCTCTGCAGCTCTGAGCACCAATGTGGTTTATAGAATGGGTGACAGCGTAGCTGTAATGGGACCCAGCAGCAGAGAATATCAGCCAGCTCTACATTTTGCAGATCATTTTCCTGGCAAAGAGTTAGAGGGGCCCTGTTAAGGGAATGGAAGTAGCTGCTGCAGCATCTGTGTTCATATGGAAATAACTGTGGCTTCCCCACCACCACCTAAACATACCCAGTTCTAGAGGTTTGCTTATCAGTACCTCCTAGAGATGACCTTTGCACTGTCAGGGAAAGCATTTGACACACCTGCAGAAGAAATAGTGGGGAGGAAAAAAAGATCAAGTCATGTGAAAGATGAGGAGCTTGTGAGTAATCCTCATATGCAACCCCAAACTGCTTATTGTTCACAACAGCTGTTCCCAAACCTGCATTAATTCTTGTCCTGATCAGTCAATAAATTCAACTCTATTCTCCCTACAGTCTAGGTATCTGATTCCCAACTGTGGGTTCCCAGATGTTCTTCGACTACAACTCCCAGAAGCCTTCACCACTAGCTATGATGCCAGGATTTCTGGGAGTTGAAGTTCAAGAATGTTGGGAACCACTGACCTAGGGAATTAATTTCTTAGATCCTAATAGGTTGTTTTGCCCATGATATGTCTCCACTTTTGATTTTTGCACTGTTTCTGCCCCATTTCTCTTGCTTGGTATCTCACTATGGTTCCCCAAAAACTCTTGCAGGAATTTGCACCTTAAGTCAATATGGGAAACAAGAAATATGATACAGTGTAATGGGCTTGGTTCAGGGAGATCTAAATTGGAAGGTCTACTCAGCTACAAATCTCTCTGCATAAATTGGGGACAGTCATATTTTCCTAACACACTATTCTCATGGGAATAAAATGGAGCAACTCACATGAATGTTGCCTTTGATTTTCTGAAGAATAATGGTAGGATATACTGGGATGGACATGTGTACATTCAGAGAAAGTGTTTCTTCCTAAACTCGAACAAGTCGTTCATTTGATTTTCTACTTTTTGAAGTTACTATCTAACACCCATAAAAGCCTGCAAAACATCCGTCTCACCTCAGCAGTGTATGGCATCAGTCCCTTGCCAGGTGCTCAAGACAATAAATCACACACACACACACACACATTCTCAGGTTAGCTGGCAACACAAGGTACATTTCTCTCTATAAATTGGTTGCTTATATTTATCAATAGAAGATAGCATTTTTAAAAATTGGCTTTCTGTTTGAATTTGCTCTTTGCCATTTCTGTCTGCATGTAATTTTGGAAATGGCAAGAAGGTGATAGGAAGAGCCAGAAAAATGTCTTCGAACACAGTTCTCTCTTTTTATGTTTGTTTGTTTGTTCCCTCCTTCTCTCCTCCAGGAGAACCGGCAGGAAGACAGCAGGTCCCCACATCCCCACCAGCCTCTGAAAACAGCAGCGCGGCCCACAGTATTGGCAGCACACAAAGCACGCCCTGTTCCAGTAGCAGCACAGCCTAACCAAGGGGGTGGGACGCAGTGGAGCTACAGCAGAGGTTCAAACAGAGCTATTCGTTGGCATTTGCTTTGATTGGTTTGGATTCTTCGGTCAGAAACGAGGAGGGATTTCCTTCATCCTCCTCTTTCTCCTGGGCCTCGAACCTCTTGCAGCATGGCTGGCAACACAACAAAGCTATTATTTATATACAGCTGTGGACTCTGCGCAAAGGGTTCCACATGCTTGCAGTGGGAAACACAAGCCAGTTCCCCTTCAGCCCACCATAAATGCTGCTTTGTCTCTACAGAACCTGGAAATTGGGTTCTGCAAACATCGAGGAGGCGCAAGGTGTCTGTAAAGGGATTTCAGCCGTATAAGCTTGAGAAAGATTTTGTTTTTGCATCCCCAACCCCTAACCTCTTGGTCGGGATTCCATCTCATGAGAGCAAGAAATGCAGAGTGATTTGCGATAAGATCCTTGATTTCATCAGCTCTCCCTTGCCATTTTGAAGTAACTATGTCTTGATTATTTGTACAGTGGCTGAGGATTTAGCACAGCATTTTACCTGCTATCATGTTGGCCTCCACTTAAGGGATTGGATTTTCCTCAGGTTTAGCCTTTGGTAGCAGGCAAAAGCAAAACCAACAAAATGTTGTTTAACAAAGTTGTGTTGGATTAAGTATTTTTAATTATTCACTACTACACTTACTTGTACATCCCTAAGCCTGCTTCTATATGTGATACAGAATCTTGCACTCTTCTGTTTACCCTTTAAAAATACAGTTTCTGCCACCTGTTAAGTGGTAGTAGACCTTCAAGGTATCACACAGCCTTCCTCAAAGGCTCCCCCCCCCCCGCATAGTTGTGCCTATAAGGACTGGCAGTTCTTGCCCATATAACAGCTTCCTCATTCACTGCAGTGCTAGGCATGGCTTTCTGTGCATATTTCCATTGTGAGTGCAGAAGTATTTTGGTGAATGAGGAAACCCTGTATTTGCCACAAGTGCCATGTCCACACTGCAACATCCATGGAGTTGATATTTCAGGGTCATTGTATGAACTTCAATACCACGTTTATGTAGCTATCCGTTTACGTGGCCAGGGAGAGTTTATTTTATGGGCAGTTTTGACCCTTTGGCATACCTGAATATACCTCAGCAAATATGAACTTGGCCAAAGATTAGGTGGAAAAGGTAGAAGTAAAATGACTGTCAAAACAACCTTCTGTTTCTGACCAGGTGTTTTGATATCTCTTCTGGCTTTGTTATATTAACTCCAGGAGATATAGAAGTATGTCTTTCTCGGCACGCCTATGGAGTGCAAGCATTTCTAGATTTGACACAGTGACATCTAGAAGTGTCCAACAAGTTGAAAGCGATCCACAATGTGTACATAGAATCACTGTCTTTTAAAAATTAGGCAATGATTTTAATAACCTCGCCCCACAGGAGTGAACATTGTAGCTAACTTTTTGCAATCAAAAGTACTTGAGCCAGGTACTTCGTACTTTTTGGTTCCAACTTTTATACAATTTTATAATAATTTTTTCTGCTCAGAGGAAGGAACCTTTGAGCTAGTCATTCTCAATTACTCACCATTTAGAAGAACAAGCAAGATTTCTTAAAAACCGCTCTATGCCTTGTGTACAATTGCAAGTCCATAATCTCAAAAGTGCAGTTGGATATAATCTAAAGGAGCATTTGGAATGCAAAATAATAATAAAGCAAACCAGTATTCATATTCTTTAGAACTCCAGATTCCCCCTGATTTCAAATACTACCGAAATAAAAACTGAAGGATGGGATTTGAAACGGTAGGAACATTAAGTTGTTACTGTGTGAGATGAAATGTCCTATTTCAGATTTCTTTCCTCCTGAAAACAAAATAAGCACTCCACTCCCCTAGCAGACTATCCAATCACAGTTTTATAACCTTCATTTATGAGGTTTTCTGCTTCTTGCTATAGCAGAAAAGACACTACGCTAAAGCAGCATTCTGCTAAGTTTGCAGAAAAGTTCACCTGCAGATGCAGGCTTTTTGCCTGATCCAGCCATGTGATATCATTTCAACCCGTGTCCTCAGTTTATGTTCATATCAGTGGATAATTCAGAACAGAATGAGAATGAGAAATGTATGGGATTTGGGCAAGAAAACAAGAGCGGTTATTTCATATCAGGAGTCTAAATGCAGTCTGAACTGAGTCCTGTAAACACTTCCCCACCTTAATGCAATCCCTTAGGACTCCCTAGTGCAGACTGACCTACACTGCAGCTGCAGAAGGGTCAAGGAAGGGTGGAGGGGCTGGATGCACACCATCATCTGGCTTTTTTCATAGTAGAGAAAAAGGAAAACCCATTGTTTCAGTCTCCTGGCTACTCCCCAATTTCTTGTGCTAAATTTATGTAAGAAACCAATCAAAGTTGACCCAACTTTGATGGTTGGCTGACCAGAAAAATCCTTCCAAACCAGCCTGCTCTAAGCTGGTAGAAACAGGCAGAGCCACACACACCATGGCAATGGCTGCCTGCACCGTTACCGCACCCAGTTCAAAAGTCAACAGCCCTTGATCCTGCAGAGCACCAACTACTCTACTGACCTTCACTTGCCCCTCTCCCAAACACCATCCCTTCTGCCATTGGTTAGAAATGTGTAGTGGCAAAGGAGACAAACACCACAGTGGTCTGTTGATAGATCAAGGGGCAGAGATCCGAGGATCTTAGCAGATTTGGAAAGTATCCGAAACAAATTGGAGTTGTTCATAAAAGTAAATTACTGTCCTTCTCAAGTGTTTGCAGGACTGGATTGGTGGGAGCTATCTGGACAACCAATATGCTACCTGTGTATTTAAAAATAATGTGCTTTGCCTAACCTTCAGCTGAATGTATTATGTAATCATATTCGTTGTATGAAAACCTTTAAGATGTCTTCAAAGAAGACTAGAGTCTTTAAGTCAATCATAGCTATATTTTATTACATTAAATGTGGGCATAAAGATAGATATATTTAAATATAAGTGGCTCTATATAAGATGTTTAATTTCAGTTACTGTGAATTCTGTGGTTTTGTACATGCTTTCTTTTCCCATTTCTTAAACACTTCCCATCAGTTTCTTTTTTGTTTTGTTTTTCTGTGGAGAAGTATAGGAAGTATTATAAACTTGGTTACTGAGATGGACATTTTAAATTTTTATGTAAAATAATTAAATGTATATTTCTGAGACAGAGAGAGAAAGAGAGAGAGAGAGAGAGAGATGCTGCATTACCAATATTTCTATCTCAAAATTACTTTAAAGTTTAAATTTATATTTCCAGATGTGTAAAATCAAGAAAGCAATATTTACAAGTAGACAAATGACATTTTTCTAGACTTATATTCGAGATTAAAACATAATTAATAAATTGACCTTGATGCACTTAATTAAGAATACTTCAGAATGCTCACTTTATTATATACTGATGATATTATACTCACTTTATTAACAGCTTGTGATAATGGGAAATTCTTACTGGTTAGACAGTAGAGCAACTGCCAGATGCCAATAATAGCACTGAAAATATTTATATTGCCCTGTTACTTTTACAGGGCTATGCGTACTGCACTGCTTTGTTCACACGCCTTGATCCAGAGATGTACATGCCCACTCTTGCTGGTATCAGTTGCACCATTCATTAGAGTGGGAGAACCAAAGCTATGTGCATATTCTTTGTGTGGACTGGATCTGTTTTCTGGAATTAGTGGAACATTCTTTTGGATGAAAGGATATCATACATGGCAACAAAATTTCTGTGCCCATCACTGGATCAAGGAGAAAGTCCACAAAGCCATTTAATCCAGAGTATCATTCTTTAGTCCAAAAATCAGCAGTAGCAGAGAATCGAGTAACTTTGTTACCAATTGGACAGTTTTGCCACCAAATTGAACAATGCTTTTACCTTTTAAAAAATCACTGAAATTTGTATTTCTGCTACCAAAAATGCTCTACTTTCTGATGTTGTATAGTACTCACAGCAGGATTTTTATGCTGTTCTGATGTTTTGGACTATTGTTGTATATCATTGTACCTTGAGAATTTTGCCTTGCCTCACAAAGTGTAAAACTGTGTAAGTGGCCAGCCCTGGACCTTGGGGCATTCTTTGATGTTTCCAACTGGGAATTATTATTATTTTTTCTGTTTCTGTTTGCCATTTAAGAGAGGCTTTGTCAAAAGCTTCTTAGAAATTCATTTACAGAACAGTATTGGATCAATCTTATCTACAGGCTAGCTGATACAGTACTTTTGAAGAATTCTAAACAGCTGCTGAGGCAAGACTCCATTTTGTAGAAGCCATGCTGACTGTCCCTTCACAAGGCTTGTGCTTCAGTGTATTTAACAAGTTTATGGTTAATACTTTTTTCTACCAGTTTCCTTGGGACATGTAAATTCTACCAATTTACCGGTGACATGTGCCTAATGTCTGAGTTCTTTTTTTTAAACAGTTTTACATTATCTGCCTTCTAATCCTTTGATATGACAGCTAGTTCATATTTCTAAAATAAAGATCAGGCATTTCAAATCTGAATTCTTTAAGGACTCGGGTGAATGTCATTCAGTCCTAGCGATGGCTTAATTTGTCAGCTCTAAACATAATCTATTATCGTCAACAGTCAGTGTTGCTCTACGGATCCCCCTGTAGAGGGGGATCTGTGGGTATCTTGCCAATGTACTTTTTGAGTGAAAAACCGATAGAAAGAATTAATCTTCCTTCATTATTCCTTTTCATATATTGTTCTCTATAAGAGTCCATATGGGTGGTTTTGTGATCCAGATGTATTTACACATTTGTGTATTTGTTTTGTGCTGTAGCAGTTAACTCCTCAAATTCCTTCTTTGCTTGCCTAATCAACTTAAATTTACATAATGCTTGCCAGCACAAGATTGTCTCCTTCACACCAGTGGGGCTGCTGAAATTAAGAAGGCAGGATTATTTCAGAAGAGCTGGCTCCTTAGTATACAGCTTGTTACAGAAATTTATAAACTCCAGTGTACTTTGTTATATCCATGCGTTATCTAATCAGTAGCATTTGCTTTTTCAAATATTTTAGCATTGGGCCACTGTTATTTTACTGTCACGAAAAGTCAAAATGTCATGCATGTCAGGGTTGACACTGAGGTCTGCATACCATTTTTTTAAAAAAAAGATTGTATGTTTCCCCCATCGCTCAGTTGTTTATGGATGTTGCGTGTTTGTCTTTTCTTAAAAGTGTATCTACCTCATGCTTCAAATGAAGACTCTGCTGCTGATTGTAAGTGCAGTCCAACAGATGCTGCTGCTGGTTGTCCTCCATCCATTCTGCCGGGCCTTGGGGAGAGCTGCTGTAGAATGCCCTTTAGACTAAATGGAGGATGCACAGCAGTGGCACCTGCTGGTTTGTGCCCTGTATGAGTGGAGTATCTTTTAATGAGGCAACAGTTCATTTTCGTTTGTCATACTTGGGGTGTTCATGGAGTAATAGAAGTCTGCCATTTCTAAAATGAAATATTTTACCTTGTTTTTTCAGTGAGTCTACTTTCCTTGAATCTTTTTTTAAAACAAACACACACACACACACACACACACACAAGTGGGAGAAATATGCCTGCTTAATCCCCATGGCCAGTTTGAACACTCCATGTTGTGTTTGTTTCAATGTTTTTATGCATTTCCAGAAACATTTTGTGTGACTGATCAAGTTGTACAGTTTTGATAATACCTGCTTAACACCTGTTACCCTGAGTCCTTTGTGCTTAATAAAGGTATATGAATTATTAATAAAATGTGGTGCCTGGTTTTTTTTTCTGAACGAAGCCATTTTCCAAACCACTTGACTTCTATAATACTACATGAAAATGATCCAGTTGTAACCAATATGGTGGCTTTGAAAACTACATAGAGTTTGTATGGCAGAGGAGAAGAGAATCCTTTTACTCATACTTCTCTGTTAAGTTAGAATTAGCATATCTTCTCCATACATAAGCAATGTGCAGACTTACATCTCCCTCTGTAAGGATCTCTGTCACCCTGTGCGCTCTGTGGCTGGTGACATAGTGGAGCCCCAGGGCTCATAATCAACACACCTAGACATGGTGAACAGCAAACATGGTGAAGCCGTCGGCCAACTTCCCTCAAGATTCTTTGCCACCTCCTGAACTTAGTTGCAGTCCTTACCACAGCTGGGGATGGGAGAAGTGGATTTTCCCAGTAACAATGCAAACTATTCTACTGCAGTCCAACATTGCCTTTTGGTGGCTTGGACTTCAATGGACAAATAAGCTACAAAAGCTTAAGAAAAGTACCTGTCTTTTTTAATGGAGAACTGGTTTGTTGATATGGATCAACATTTAAGTTGTAGTTGTTAACCCAAATCCAGCACTTGGCAAGCCAGGACTCTTTCCATATTGATTACATCCACTGCCTACAAAAGCAGGGTCAGTTTAAAACACATTGCTGCCTGGAGACAGGCAACTAATGGTGCAGTCACTGCCCATCCATAGCAAGATACATAGCAGCCAAAATCTCAGAAGTTATTTCAGCATGCTGATAATACCAAATAAAAATAACCAAAAAAAAGGTAGCTAACAGTATGCCGCTTGTTTGTGATACCCCAAATTCCAAAATTGTTGTCTGGGCAGCTGCCTCACTCTGTCCAACGGTGGTGCCACTCTGGCACTAGGGCTTTTCTATTTGTGTTGACAGAGGGTAGCGCCATGCATGCAAATTAAATAGGACCGTTGTTTGTACAGAAGCACCACGTGTGCAGCAGAACAAACCTAGAAGTAGCTAACTAGGAGATATGAGCAAGGCGGGCAACAGAAGTGCACAGTCACTTCCCTGCTTGGCTGCCAATGTAAAAACACCCTGTCTGAAGCAGATGCTTCAATATGCTGCTTGCCATGGAACAGCTCATAGAACTTTATAGTCATTCTGAACTGGCAGCACTATTTGGTAGTGAAGCCACATTCAGTCAGCCACACAGAATTACCGTATTAAGGCTTATCCTAAGGAGAGCTTGGAAAAGTTACTTTTTATCCTGGCTGGGAACTCTACCTTATACCTTAAAATTTTCAGTGAGATTTGATTCCACAAATATATTTTGGTTTGGGGCTTAAAATGTCCAATAGAGTATGTTGGGAAATGTATTTTAATGTCAACAGCACCTTGAATCATAATGCTCTTTCATAATAAGATAAAACACCTGTGCTTTGAAATATGGTATACATGCTGTATTAAATGCAGGCACAATAACCATAGAAGGCAAAAGACACTTTTTTTCTTGTTAGAACAAAGTTTTCTTTTTCAGCTCTAAATTAGGATAAAGCATTAGGTTGTCGTTCCATTATCTTGAAGATTCATAGTAATTCGTAGTGTTTAAAAGATTGTGCCATACATTTTCTTTCTTTCTTTCTTTGAAAAAAAATTCTTTACAACTAGCCAGTTATGAAACATTGACTGCATGGGCCTTTTTACAATGTTATAAATTGGAATATTGCAAAGAGGTCATAATTTTGAATTCTGGTTCTTGCCAGACACTTGTGAATGAAACAAGCGTTTTGGAAAATGAAGACCATTACTAAGTGTCAGCTGCAAGAAGAATACAGACCAGATCCTTTCTTACTGTAAACAAAGTTTAAATATATAGTCGCATTGGCTAGACCAAGGCAACATACAAGGTCAACGTTCCGCTGCTGTAGCTCTGTAATAAGTTATTTTGTAATTGTAAGGCAGAAATTTATGAGGGCTGAAGTCTCCTTGATGCCTTTGTTTTTGTTCTTTATTCCCAGTGCCTTCACTTCAGAGCAGACCTTCTGAACTTATGTGCATTTACATGGATTGGATTGTGCACACACATACAAAAATCAAATGACATCATCCACCTAGCTAAAAAGGTCACAGCTTAAATTACGTTTTCATGGATTTTCTCATTTACCGGAGACCATAAGGGAAATCTCTGCCGGCTGTGTGGAAGAGCTTACGCTGAGGCAACATTTTGGCCTGCTTCACATTAAATGATTCCCCCCCCCCCGGTCATCTTCCACCTCTCTACTTTTCTCTGGAAGAATCTTTTCCCTATCACTGTGAGGTACATGGCCAAAAACAAAACAAAAAAAGCACTTTATGGCAGTCAGTGAAAGCCTGTAAATTAAGTTGCAGCTCAGCCATTTAGACAACAGCTACCAAGTTCTAGGTATAGCTATTTCTATCTGAAACAATTTTGAAAGGTAACTATGTTGGAGTAAAATACTGTAATGAGGAATTATATGACTCCTCGAACTCTTACAGGTTTCTTACCAGATTATATTTTGGGGAAACATAGCCCTTATCCTTTTAATTTATATCTGATGGAGCCATTTTGAGGAAAATGTCTCCTTCAGATAATTCCTGAAATGTAGGAATCAGTCAGTGAAGCTCTTCATGTTAAGGAGACCAGCATTACCACTTACTGTACTTACTAATTGCAGCAGATACTTTTAAAAGACACTCATACAGGGTCAGGTTCCAAAGCTGGCCAGCCTGCAAAGGCTCATTCATATGGTGACCAGTGGGATCTTCCCATCTGTATTGCTGGTATAAAAATGTCCTTTGGCATCCTGGCTTGTCAGTGTCTATTCAGAATTCTAGCCTTCCTCACTGAAAAGTTATCATGGGTGAATTTCACTTTTATTGTCTTCTTCCTTCATGTGAAGGTGCAGCAAAGTATACATTTCCACAGTGCATTCTCCAGTTATATGTGGCTCTGCTGTAGCCCAGTAATGCTAGCCGTACCCTGTCTTAATTGAGGCTGTATCTTACCTAAAAGGAGCCCAAGAGTCCTCCTCAATGTGCATGGGATTCCTTACCAAAGAATTCCTGAGATCTGACACCCTTATTTGCACCAGCCAATCCTGGATTTACATGCAAAATAAGCTACAGCCTAAGACCTAGTATCCTATTCCTTGAGATGATGGGATCAAAACCTGAGACTAAGGGATGGGTCCTTATGGTGGCACAGAGGTAGGGCAGGAAGGAGGACCAAAGCTGCTCTCAAGTCAACTGATTCTGGAAAGAGGCACAAACACAATCCAGATATTTGAGCCCAGAATCTGAGTAAGGACTGGCTAACCATGTAATATGGCCACCTAAAACCAGGCAGGTGGAAACCACTTTGGGGTTATAGGGTACAACATCGGCAGCCATTGTTGCTATTTCTGCTAGGGCTTGATAGTCTGCTCAGCATAACCTGCTGCACACGTGAGGATTGTTCCCAGGCCCTAGATCCGTGGTTCCCAACCTGGTGATCATGACTCCCAAGGGGATTACAACGTGTTTTCTGTGGGGAGGTCATGGGCCACCTTATATCAGTTGCAGCCCTTGTTAAATAATTTCTTCCTTGACCTTTGGGAGCCAGATATTGAAATCAGTGAGTATATGTATGTATGAGAAACAGGCCCTTTGAGGGAGAAAGAAGCTTCTACCTTCTGTGAAGGGATGACATTACCTCATTAAAAATGCCTTTTAATGTAAATGTGATGATGGGGTCACAGGTTACTTGGCTATTTAAAAATAGGGTTACAATCTGAAAAAGGAACCACTGCCCTAGACTGTTGCTAAGCCTTCTGGAAGGCTCACCACCAGGCCTGAGGGAGCTTCTGCTGCTGCCAAAGCTTCAACAAAAAGAAGGCTCATAAGTCATAAGTCACTTCAATTCCTGCCTCGCACAATGAATCCAAATGGATGTACCCACTCTTTCTTTTCCCTGTGCTCTCTCTCTCATGGCATCTGTACTAGTGACCTTGTGCAAGTGCAACACACATGCAAACATGCTTGCTCTAAGCAAGGAAGCCATGGTGCCAGATGAAAATGGATAAAAACATGTATCCACCGCATACAAAAAATCAAACTTTCTTTTCCATCAGAAAGGTTCCTATGAGGTTTGACTCCTGACTTGGAGACTCAAGAGAAGCATCAACATTCTATGAGACCTCAGCCATCTCCCTCAGATCTCACAACATTGAGTGGGATGCTAAATATCCACAAGAAAGTACATCATTCACAACATTTTAAGTTTATACCGTTGCTTAGAAAGTAAAGAAAATGGAGAAAGACCCTAAGGTGCAGATTATATACTGTAGATTGCCCAATATAGGAGAGAGCAGTCCAAAACTGCTGGAAGCATATGATTATCATAGCAAGAGCTTTCCCCACCTCATGTAATGAGATTGCCTTGCTTTCTGATTGCTCTGAGGCAGCTAAACGTAAGCTTCTTCTTTCTCAAACACAATTTTCTGCCTAAATTAGGTCTCATGATGTAACATGTAATAACCATTATGCACCATCAAGTCAATTCAGATTTATGGTGACCCTTTCCAGGGTTTTCTTGGTAGAGAGTACTCAAAAGTAGTTTACCAATCCCTTCTTCTGGGGGTGCCCTGGGAATATACAGTTTGCCTATGACTGCACAGGCTGACTTTTCTCCCAGCAGGCACAGTGAGGAATTGAACTCCAAGCCTCTGGCTCAGCAGCCAGATACCTAAACCACTAAGCTATCAAACCAGCTGATGTCACCTGTAATGGTGAGTTACCTACATAATACGGTTCTAAGATACACATTCTTGTTTTGATATGATGTTTTAAGGGTAATGGCATGGGGTCTCACATCTGACATAATTCAGGGTTTCAGCCTGTT